TGGTACCGTACGTAGAGCCGTTGGTGTAGCCATTGCCATTGCCAATGGTATGTCCGTTGGTGTGACCGTTGCCGTTGGCATATCCATTGGCGTGGCCGTTGCCGTTGCCATTGGCGTAGCCGTTGGTCGCAGACTTCTTCATTGGTGCTCTGAGGTCGACCTCGTCGTCGTCAATATCTTCCTTGAACTTGGGAATGCCTCTTCGTCGTGCGGTCTCGGGCTTGAGGTTCTCTGACAGAGAGTCGAGGTCGGCCGTGGGCTCAGGGCTCTCTCCAGCAGGCGTGTGCGAGCGGCGTGAGGATGTGCGGCGGGAGACTGGACGCGGGGTCTCTACCATACCAGTGAAGAGTTCCTTCTTTCTGGTGAGAGTCAGCGTATGCGACAGGCAGAAGACAGCCAGGCAGCACAAGGTTGGCGAGGATTGACTGACCTGGGGGTTGCTCTCAGGGAGTAGCGACCCGTCATGTTGGCGACTTTATAACACAGGGGGTGTTGAGGGGTGGGTGTGTACTGTATGCAAGGCTCGTGTAGTATCCAGAGCGGTGTCGTGGTTTTCTGGGTCCAGAAAGGTACTGTACAGCACTGGGGAAAGAGACCAGGAGCAGGGGATGAGACAGGACCAGGCCGTGCTAACGAGTGTAAAAGGCCGCTACGTCGTGTAACGGAGTCCGCAAGTACCGAGTAGGAAGCCGACGTGAGCCACGTCTGACTTTTGTTTTTGTCTTTGCTTCGAAGAAAGTAGTACTGTAAAGGAGGGGGCGCGCTGGAGCTGAAGCATAGAGGCGCGACTGGTGCTACGATGACATTCACAGCAAGACTGGTGGTGGATCAACATGGGTAAAATTTTGTTGACATTTGGAATGAAATGACCATCGGGGGGAGCGGTACCTCCCGGCGCAATACAAGCCGCATACAAAGCCTAGGTACCTGCACAGAAGCTAGCGCCCGGTGAGCCCCTGAACCCTTCCCTCGGAGCGGGTCTCATGCACGATTCGTTTAACAGATGCACCAATCAGCCTCCGCTTCCAGCATGCGAGGCATCTCAGATGCGCCCGCCTAGGAACCCAATGTCCGGAAAGGTACGTATCCGCCCTGAGCGTTAAGGTTCTTAGTAGACGAGAGGTGCATATTGTGCGAAGCGACCCAGGGTTGCCTCTGGATATCGCAAGGGAGACTCACGTGCTTCGCCGATTTGCCTGTAAAGTTCGCTAGTCAGACTAATCATCCAGGTGTTCTGTATGTAGGTACTTTAGGCAGCGCGTTAACTAAGGCACGTGCCGAGGTACATGGTATGTCCCTACGGTAGGTAGGTAGGTAGATAAGCGCTGAGTTACAAGAGCTCCACAGGTGCACTGACGTCAGTAGTATTTTCATACAAGCCCCCCCTCCCTCCTCCAACACACGAGTCACCAGCTCTCGTCACCAGCTCTCGTCACCAGCTCTCGTCCCGAATTCGAGCGACCTCATTCAGCACACCGACTACGCAGCCTAGGTACCTTACCTACAATAGGTAGATAGGCAGGCTAACATCTAAATACCTATCAATGCAGGACACAGAGATGGAGGGAGCTGAAGTTCTCAGCTTCTTTCCCATAGATCTGCCGAGAGGAAATGCAAGACGGAAAAACAAAAATGGAAATCACACGCCTAAGCGACCAATCCTTTTGGATCCCTCTCTGAACCCCTCCCGGTTGGCATCATCGCCCAAGCCCATGATATCGTTAGGTCATGATCACTAGGCTTCCCGAAGTTGGAGCCTGTCGTCTTGCTTATTTTTTTTTTTTTTCAAAAAAAAAAATAGTTCTCATCGTTGAATGATTTTCTACTGTATGCAGCAGTCCGTAGTCGTGCAGATACCTTCCAGTGAGCCTAAGGTAGCCCACGGTCATCAGAGGTCCATATCCAGAAGATACGACACACCGATTGATCCAATAAGCCCAAATACGGTGCCTCATCTGCTTACTAGAGACGAGTATCTCCCTTGTTCCTTCTCAGTTCTTGGGGTCCCGGTATCAGATCTGCAGCTTACACAGCGGACGGCTCGGCTGGCTCATCGGCGATAGTATTTATGCTCACAGCTTTCCGAAGCGCATGAATTGTGCTGTAAGATGGTCAGCCATCGGCCTGTATTAGGAGCAGTTCGTTCAAAATCATTATGCCCTTCCTGGTACGAGAGAACAGGTCCAAACCTATCTACCTCAGGTAGGACAAACATCGGGTGCCTTTGGGCGTGAAATATGCTAGGCCGCCAGCAAGAAGAGGACTCGTCTGGGATTGAGGACTCACTCCTGATATGAAGCCATCACTTACTAATTCACAGGTGTTCCAAGGCCCAACATCGTGGTCTGGCTATCCTTGTCCATGTGACCACTTGCACTGCACTGAGGCCAAATCACCAAGCAGGCAGAAGCACTTTGCTGGCAGCCTATCACAAACCACCGTCGGAACGTTGACGAGTGCGTAGCGATGCCTGGCGTTCTTGCTGTCTCCTTCTATTGACCGAGTTCTACTACTGTCTGGCTGATTGCAGTCCTTTGCACCAGCCGCAAGACTTTTATAAATTCCTTGAAATTTCCCACTTTCTGTCGTGTTTTCCCTCTTCTCTCCCCAGCTTTCTTTGCCTTGTGGCTTTGGTATGTCATTCCCTCGCATCTCCAAGCCGTCTCGGGAGCTTTGCTGACAGTTCTCGATAGATCAGTGTGTAGTATCTGTTCTTCTCAGCTTGATCGCTGGGAGCCTTCTACAGGAAGGCTACTCCGTTCGCTGTTTTTTGAGTCCTTGGTTGGTTTCCTCTGTGCATGCACATGATACCCTCCACTGTGTCCCTGGTATTTCACTGCCTCCAGGTGATGCGAAAGAAACATGCGGTATCTTCATTGCTGTTTTGGCTTGCCCAGGCTGCGAAGACGGTGCGAGTGCATGCAGGCGATGGACAGAATCATTTCGGGCCTTGGATGATGTGTGGCGTTGTGACGATCTGCCCCCGCAAGCTCGTCATGTATGAATTGATCAACGACCATGACCATGCTCAGAGTCGTGGTTTGGTCTTGTCGTCAGAGACAAATTGACATGTCGTCGCGAGGCTGCCGGCCCCCTCCCCACTGCTGATTCAAGGAGGGGCGTCAACTCATGCAAATATCAGCAAAAAATACAGGATCGAGAATCTTTGCAAGAATGTTAGTCAAAATGAATGCCAAATTGAATTGTCGCCCTCTCAACCGTAGCAAAGTCTGCTCTGTCGCAGCGACTCGAATTTGAGTGGCTACACCGCTCTGAATTGTGCCCTTGTGCCAATTGTCTGCAACTTCAACCTTCATCCACCGATCTCACATCTCAGGCTCCACCTGGCCGTCGTCACCTTCACCATTGAAATCAGCGACCATGGACAGCGACACCAAGATGGCCGAGCCCTCGCCGGCAACACGCCTGCTTGACCCGAAAATCTTCGACCATCTCAAGGCCCGCATCGACGAGGACCAGCAGGTCCGCGACGACCTCACTCAGATTGTCCAGCGACTCGACCGCGCCAACGCCCTCGTCCAGGGCTTACTGTCCCGCGTGCACGCCACGCCGCGTGCCCAGTACGCTGCTTCCTTCCTCTCGCAGGTCGAGGCCGGCATTAAGGACGAGATAACTGCTGTCGCCGAGCTGAACGAGAAGGCTTCCCAGCACCCTTACTACAAGTGAGCAGCACCTCTCCGCCACCTTCTTCTTTCCCCCAGCTACCACGCCTCACATAAAACCGAACTGACTCTCCCACTACGCAGGTACAACCAGAAGTGGAACCGTGCCGTTCAGAGCTCCGTCTTCACCGTCCTCCTGACCGGTTGGCTCGGCGGCCTCGGCACCGCCTCCAAGCCCGCCGAGCTGGGTCGCCTCATCACCATCGAGGAAGCCGGCGAGATTTTCAGGAGTGAGCCACCCCTTATCGTATCCGACCCCCCCAGGTCGCCGCTGTGATCAACTGACGCCGCCCCATCAGTCCCCGTCAACCTCAAGGACCGCGACGCCTTCCACCTCACCATCGAGGAGTACCTCTTCGCCCTCATCGATCTGACCCAGGAACTCAGCCGTCTCGCCACCAACGCCGTCACCCTCGGCGACCCGGACCTCTCCATCCGCATCGCCGCTTTTGTCAAGGACATCTTCGCCGGCTTCCAGGTCCTCAACCTCAAAAATGACCTTCTGCGTAAGCGCGTCGACGGTGTCAAGTATCACGTCCAGCGTGTCGAGGACGTCGTCTATGACCTAAGCTTGCGCGGGCTCGTGAAGAAGCCCGAAGAGGCTGCTTCCGTGCCAAGTTGAACACCGGCGGAATGCAGGATCGGACAACCAGGCACGAGGGAGGATCTTAGCGGGGGCCAGAGCAAATGGAAAAGAGCGAAGTAGGCTGGCAATCATCACAAAATACAGGAGGGACCTCCCCAGGCGTAATTTGTTATCAGCGCTTCAGCGCCATCAATCAGACTTGTGCAATTGCTTGCTATATGTACCTCTAACCTTTCCTTCGCTGCCCAGCACCTGACCGGCGGGCGATGCGCAACAAAGGTGTCCACGACGAACCACGAGCCCAACAAAATAAGAGAAGAAGGGGAGGGGAATATGCGAAAAAACCAGAACAGTCAGTTGCTTTTATGTTTGTATGTGCGTCCATGTTCGTGCTCTGCCCAAGTCTGGGGTGCCAGCTTGCCAACATGGCATGCAGAGCTCAAGCGACTCACTCCCCGCTGCCCTCGCCTTCGTTTCCCTCTGGGTTTCCTCTAATGCCGACTGATCCTTGCCATGCAGGTTTACCGACCAGAAATCAACGCTGTGTGCCAAACCTACATACATGAACCGAGACTTGTATGCCCACTCCCTTTGCCGAAAGAAAAGAAACCAAAACAAAGACAAAAATCAAACTAACCCCACCTTCCTGTCACTCATGAGTGGATGCTGATGATTCAGACGCAAGAAAAAACTGATCCGCTTGTTGGAGTTTGAAATGGTGCTTTGTTGAATTATGAAGACCATTTCATGTCAGAGCTGGGAGCCCTGTTGCGCCTCTTGCCAGCTGAGCTGCTGGACGCGGGTGCCGGTGTCGAAGCAGGCGCTGACACCGCCGAGGCGTTTCTACTATAGTTTTCCTTATTCGAGTTGTTGCTGTCTGATCGTACCACTAGCGATTGCGCTGAGAGGCTGTTGGGTCGCGTAAAGCTCGTTGACGTCCGGGGTAGACGGCTCTTCGAGCCTGAGCCGGTGGGTGTACCTGATGACATATCGCCACTAACTCGTCGGGGTATCGCAGTTGCACCGTCCCGGCTGCGGGGCCGGTAGAGAATTGACTCGCGCTCCTGTGTTCCTGTCACCGGGGTCCGACGTGGGCTTGCAGCAACTTCAATATAAGCGTTGCCGGACAGGGAGGGATGGTGGGACGTTCGGTGGCGGGAATGGCTCGATGATGTCGGTGTCGGGGGCATCGAGACGGCAGAGTGGAGGCCAGGGGGCGTGTAGGAAGAGGTCCGCCTGAGACCAGATCCGGAGCGGCGCGAAGCTATCGACCCTGCGGAGCCTTTACGTTCGGGAGGTATGCCCTCGTACGTATCGCCTTCGACGTGCGACCGGACCAGCTCTGAAGCCAGGTTGCGAACCAAGACAGCCGAGTCCTTGTCTGCCAAGGTCTGAATGGCACCCACCAGAGACTGCACTTGTCTGCTGTTGAGGCTGCTGCTGCCATTGCCTGTCCCCATTGCATCCATCTCGCAGGTGTCCATAATGTTTCGCACGAGACGCAACAGGTTCAGGCGCACCACAGCCTTCTTGTGGCCAAGCCTCTGACCGATACCAGCGAACATCTCCGGCTTCGCCAGCGAACCGCAGATGGCGGGACTCAAGCGCAAGAGCTTCAGTAGAGGCTCCAGCAGGTTCGAATCAAATGTATTGATCTTGTTTGTGTCGAAACAGGCGACAATGGCGTTGGTAAACTTGCCGTCGAGGAGATGGCTCTCCACCTTTGCCGTCTCCTCTTGCAGCCATACAAATATGGCGTCCAGAGCAGTGACTTGCCAGTACTGATCGGCCAGCAGCGAGACATAAAAGTCCAGACCCTTGTTTTGCCACAGGTACCTTCGGCCCTTGCTGCCGGAATGAGCCATATCGCACAGAATGGGCAACGCGAATTCTTTCGGGGGCCTATCGGTTTGCATGATCCGCATGAGCAACGGAATGATGCCTCCGACGGCGGCATCAACCTGCCTCTCCTTGTTGAGGCGGCAGAGGTTGAACATTGTGTTGAGGACCTGATTTGATGTTTCGCGGAAATGCTCCTGCCCTCTCTTCATGGTGTAGCTCAGCAGATCAATGAGGAACTCAATCGCGTCGGCAGAGTGGAGCGACTCCAAGGTTGTCGTTAACATGGATAGGTTTTTGATGAACTTGAGCATGGTGATCTGATGGATAGGGGTCATCCGTCGCAGATCCTTCAGGACGCCTGAGCCAGTTAGTCCGCAGATCGAATCCGTGTGGAGCGACAAAACGTACTCTTGAGAACCTGTCGGTCGGCCACCACCTCCTTAACGTAGTTTTCCGCTTGGGAAAAGAGGTAGAATATGTTGACGATCCGACCTTCAACCAGCTCCGACAGCTCATCCTCGCCCTCCTCATCGAGCACCCGGTGAAGGACCAGGGCAAGGGGATACAAGATCTTACTCCTTGAGAAGATCCTGCAGAAGTCGTTCTTGGGTGTGGGCCCTTGGAGCTCGAAAACGTTCCAGATGCCATTGACACCAATGAGAACGAGGTCTTTTGCATCATCGTAGTCTTCGTCAAGGAACTCCACCAGTACATTCAGACCGCCGGCGCTTACAAACATCTGCAGTGTCAGTGTCGAGGTCTGATACATTTGCCGGACAAATGCGGCCGCCTCGAGTCGAATCTCGTTGGAGTATTGCCGCGCGGCGAACTTGGTTATGATTGGGATACCACCGACGAAGCAGAGGTTCTCCTGGATCTCAACATCCTCCAGGATAATCTGAGAGGGTCAGCACCAATACACACAAGTTAGGTGGGAAATGACATACAGCGTTCACCACTTTGAGTAGCTGCAAAATCATGTGTTGCCTGCTTTTTACGGTGCACGGTTCCAATATTTCCAAGATAGGAAGCAAACCATGAGCGCTGATGATCAGATCTTTGACCTCACTGTTCTCCCAGAGTAATGCGAGCTACAACTGTCAGTGCACTGATCTTCGATTGGGCATACGTTTGACACGTTGCTTACCAGATCCTCGGACAAAACGAGTAGCTTCTCTTCACCCTCTGTCGTCTTGAGCGACCGCACGAGCTCCTCGACTTTCTCTGCCAATCGTGCGTGCCGGTCGCGAGCAATGTTGGCCTCAAGATCCATCTCATCCCAACCAGGATCCATGAATGCAAAAGGATCGTCCTCATCCTCGTCGTCGCCGAGCCACGAGTTGTTGGAAAGCTTGGACAACAGCATCAGGCCGCCATCCTCGGATCCACGGTCACTCTCGTCCTTCTCCGTCAACTGATCTTCGAGGCCAAAGATGTCAGAGAAATCCTCGTCACCTTCATTCTCGGCAAACTTTTGAATCTCGATGGACGACCTCGTCCTGCGCATCGGCCGGTCAGGAAGCACTGACGGACGCGAGGGGACCTTCCTTCGCATGCTGCCACCGACAGGTGGTTCAGAAGAGCGAGGCAGGCTCGTGAGATCAGACGGGTGGAAAAGCTGTGGAGCGTCGCCCTGGTCATTTGTGTGAATAACTCGTATGCGAGGAATACTGGATGGATCCACAAGCGGGCTACACACCTTCTTCGCAAACGGGTCGACCCTCTGGTTGAATACATTATCGTTGTCGAAAAACAGGTCTGAGTAATCCTCCACCGATTGTTCACGGTACATCAAATCAGGTCGTGACGGAAGCTCGAACCTACTGTTACCCAACTGTGGCTTGCCGGACGATTTGGCCTGGGATGGTTTACGGCCATGCTTTCGAGGACTCGACTTCCTTGGTGAAGGCTGCTTCGTCAGATCTGGAAGCTTGTCGCTCCTTTTCCGCGGTAGGGGACGAATTGTTTTCTCCTGGGAGTCAGCATCCATGAATTGATGTGGCCCTTTGATGGTCATCAGCTCCCCCTCAAAATCGTCATCGTAGCTCCCCGAATCGTTCCGATTGTCCACTGTTGAAGCAAAGGCTTTTAGCCGATCAGCAGACAGGAGACCGCCAAAATTGTCCTGTGGTTTCAAATGAGGTAGTTGCAACGCGGTTGGGGAGATTGCTGTGGCAAAGTCGTTGTCCCAATTGTCGTCATCTGGGCAAGGTCAGTCAACGGCTGGAGCTGCGGGGTTTCAGTTTAGAGGATAGGGCCTCACCGGCTAGCTCGGGCGATCTGAATGCTTCAGCAGTCGGCCTGGGTTTTGCTAAAGACAACGGACCCTTCGCCGGGTTTGTCAAGCCAGGCCGTTGTGGTTCACCTGCATTGAATCTTGATGAGGGTTGGCCAGAGAAGCCTACCACACCACCATCAGAACCAGTAGACGCTCGCAGAGAGCTCTCTGAGGATTTGAGTGCCTTGTTCCATTGCTTGACCTCTTCCACAGCCTGGTTGAAATTTGAGGGCGTTTTTGAAACAGGCGCGTCACTTCTGCGGCATCCTACGATCCACGGATGCTTGAGAAGCTTTCGAGCTGTTACTCTCAAATTGGGGTCCTTCTGGAAACATTGCATCAAAAAGTCTCTTGAAGCCTGGAAGCGATCAGTAAGCGATGTAGATACGGCGAATCGTGACAACGTACAGGAGAGATTCCTTCAGGCAATGGCGGGTGGTCGTCGTTGACGATGGCAAATAACGCCGGCATGGCAGCCAGGTTGTGATAGGGCGGTTTTCCTTGAAGCAGCTCGATAACGGTGCTGCCTACACTCCAGATATCGGACGCTGGACTGGCTCCAGATAGTTGGATGATCTCAGGGGCCATCCAATATGGTGTCCCAACGACCTGTGCTTCTTTGTCCTGTCCATTCGCCAACGTGCTTGTCGAAACACCAAAGTCTGCAAGCTTGACAGTTCCATCCTTGGTTGTCAGGATATTTGCGCCTTTGATATCTCTGTGAATGACACCCTGATCGTGAAGGTACTGAAGACCTTGAAGGACTTGGGTCATGTAAACACCGACGAGGTTCTCGGGAAACTTTCCATATGCCTTGCATATCGAGTGAAGGGAACCATTTTCACAGTATTCTAGCACGATGTTCAGGCAGTCAACCGACTTGACGAACCCGAGGTACTTGACAATGTTGTCGTGCTGATTATACGGTCAGAGGTCGTGCCCGCGAAGGTCGGAAGAGCGCGCACTCACATGAAGGTTCTTAAGCAAGTCGATCTCGGACTGGCAGGGGGTCAGCATCACATGTCAAGTACGGGAGGCGGACAGTGTCGACGAACCTCGATCATGCGGAGTTCGCTCTTGGGGAGGTCTGCGAGTTTGATCTGCTTGACAGCCACAGCCTCGCCTGTGCCCCAATTGAACGCTTTGTAAACAGACCCAAAGGCTCCCTTGCCTAGGCATTCGCCCAGACGCTGGATCACAATGCTGGTCAGCCGCCATAGCCACCTCGAGGATCACCTCGCAGAACAAAGAGATAGTCCTTGTCCCCCCCAACTGGGTGCTCAAGGTATACGCACGTAATCCTTCAGGCCTGGATCTTGCAAGGCGGAGCTCTCCCGTTGTCCCTGCCTTTCCTTCCGCGGGGTGCTTGAGCCCCTCTCTCGGGTTGCCACCACGGCCGCCCTGCCATTGACGTGGTACTGACGCTCAGCAGACGAGGGCGGCAGCGGTGTGGGCATGGCCAAAGTATTGGTGGGCAAGGCAGACCCTCGCCAAGTCGGTTAGCCGATTCAGAGGATCCGACAACTTTGGAGGGCTGGTTCTGGCGGTCTCAACTCGATGCGTGGTTGGTTGTTTTCAGGTCCGAGTCGGTGAGGGTCGTGTCAGTTGTCGGGTCAGTATCGTCGTCGTTTTTCTTGATCGTAGTTTGCGTAGGCGTCGTCCGGTCGTGGCTGTCGTAGGGATCGGTAGGGCGGGGTTCGAGGGAGGAGGTGAGGTCGTTACTAAACGGTAGGGGCGTCATGCGCAAAAGAGAGATTGGGGACGGCACAGTTCACATTCCCGGTTTCACCACATGCCAGTCGTGTGGGCGTCGTTCCAATCTTGATAGTTGCGGCAGCGTGCGACATGTATGTGTGCGTGTGTGTGTGTGTGTATTTCGGGCGGTAAAGCAGAGATCTCGAGACCTGCTAGCCCAAGACTCAATCGGCCCAGCAGCAACACTGCAGCAGCGCAGGCAGGGCTGCCGCGAAGCGGAATCCTTAGCGCAAGCGTCAGAATCTGGAGGGTCAGTGTCTGATGCGCGAAACGTTGTCTTGTGTTACGCGGTCGCGTAATGTTGGAAGACCATTCGACCACTTGCTGGAGAAGAAGAACTTCGTGAGCACCTTGTAAGGCTCAGATTGGGTTGACATTGGTGGACGGGTCAGGTACGAACCGAACTGTGAGGTACCGACCGAAGGGAGTGGATGTTTTGGAGTGTCAGCCAAGTCATGCCTTGTTAGGCGGCTCATCCCTGGCCTGGGCCTGGAGTAAGATGTGCTATTGCACCTAAGGCCACTGGTGGCACCGAGCTGGTGGGTGGTTAGTGAATACAGACCACCTGCGAGCACCTATCCTTGCGCCGGTCATTCCAGGCAGCTACTTGTCCAAGTGACAGCGAGCCCCAAGGGGTCGCACGACCGAGCATAGCTCAGTGGAATGCACCCTCTTGATGGTCAGGATGACGCACTAGCAACCGAGGTAGGTACCTGCGAGACAGAGGCCTCACATCCTCATCAGATAACAACGAGGTAGCAACAATGCCTTGTATCAAACAGAGTCTGTTGGTGCTCAAGCCTGCAGCGATAGATGTGCTCCTTGATGCATTTTCTACTGTGAATTGTTGACCCTCCAGTCCACGTATTGGCCAGCTGCTGCGCATGCTGCTATTTTCAACAATTTCCTCTTCCGTTGCATGGCCAAGCTTGACTGATGACCCTGAAATCAGAATGTTCCGTGTCATTTGACGTGGAGTCCAATCTTCATCATTTCTTGCAGCAAGACTTGCAGCGAACTCTGCACAAGAAAATGTGACTGATCATCTTGATGTGTTGGCAGGGAAGCCCCTGATCGACAGAATGCGTCGTTGGCTGTGGCCAGATGCAGCATGTTGTCAGCCTTTGAGGTGGTAGTAGTAGGCTGGCCAGATGGACGCCTCCCAATTGTAGGTACCTACCTACCTAAGGGAGGTTCCTCAGGGGCACCTCCTCGTCGCCTTCACCTCAGGCCTTGACATGCAGTGCCAATCAAGCCCACCGCTCGTAAGAGGGCATTGCGAAAAGTACAGACCCCTTCGCGGCACTGATTGGCTGTGTATTTCAATTCGACGGTTTACAAGTTGTAATTTATACATGGCCCCGTCACTGGAGGGCGAACTGACCGCTCGCCGTCAGGAAGCATATTCGCTAGATGTTCAACGCCTCGAACTCCCGCCTTTGCTGAAGGTCGTCAAGTAGCCCATCGCCCATAGCCAGAGGGCGTGGTGCGGACGCAACCGTGAACTTTCTTCCCCAAAAATTCCAAGAACCCTCGTCCCCACAGTCGTGCGTGTTGTTTAAACTCTTCCATCACTCATCTGTTCCATTGTTGTCCGCAAGACTGCGTAGGATAGCCCACGCAATTTCATCCACGTTCGGGGCACCATCAGCCTGAGTCTGGACGTGATCAGGCTGTGCGTCTTGCGACTCTTCTGCTGCAGCTGTGTCTGCAGTGTGATCCGCGCGTCGTGCAGTGCCCCCAAGTAAGGGAGTAACATGACTTGAGAAAAGAGGGCCATATGACAGCAGGTGGTCGCGTATATGGCCATGAGCGTAAATGATGCGGTCTGGGAGGCTTTGTCGTAGGCCTGGCCTGTCAGCACGGACGTGCGACACGCTGCTCTGGTCGTTCGAGTCTAACGCTGATACGAAACGTCTGTGCCTCGACGGGTAATTCGTTGAAGGCCGTTCTGGTCGCGCAGCACGTGGCGTCTCGTTGTCACTCTCCGAGTCTTCGTGGGTCGAATCGCAAGGTTGCTCGACCGCATTCTCGTGGGAGGGCTCCGGGTCGGTGAACGAGGTGCGGGACGATGCAGCCGCGCTCCGGCGTTGTGATATAGCCGCCGAGCTCGACGCGGACGCAGAGGCAAACGAGGACCCGGCGCTGGGCGGTTGCGGGTCAGGAGTGAGTGTCGTTAAAAGCGTGTCCCAGACCTCTGGGCTCATGCTTCGTGTGCGATCTCCCAGACCGTCAACGGCGACGGATGAGCGGAGTCTGCGCCATGCCCTACGATTGACGGAAGTATGCGCTTCTCGTATGAACTGCCCCGGGGCCTGTTGCGGACGGGACGCGTTGTCAATGGCCGTCGAGCCGGACTGTTCTCGCTCGGGACTTCGATCGAAGCGAGCAGCCACTGAAGGTGCCTAATACAAGTTAGCGGCAAGGCAGATTATGTGACTGTTGGCTGGTACAAACAATTCGTTCACGCCGGTAAGTCTCGGGGTTTGGCGCATCATCAGCGCCGCGTCTGAGGTTGCGAGCCCGCAATCTGACAAGCTGCGATGGTTGTTCTCCAGCCGGAGAGGGACTTCCACTGGTCGATCGGCTGGCAATCAGATAACGGTCGCCTAGAAGACTCATGATACGGTCCTCATCGTCATTTGCCCTCGTGCGTTCCGCGGCCGCGTCATGTCGCTCCAATCGGTACGTCAACCACTCCGGGAGTGGGGGAGGGGCGCTCGGCGGGTTGTAGGCTTCAGGGGGTGGAAGCTGGCCAGTTTCTATCCAAGGATAACGCGCAGGCCGGTCCGACGCCGCAGGATGACCAGCGTCCTCCCATTCTCGGGATAACAGCGACCGCTCGGGCTGCTCAAAGCTTGTGTTTGTGAACGTCTCTCTTAGTATAGCGGCTCGTCGACGAACGGCACGAGCGACATCGGGACGACGGCTGTGACGTATGGATGATCGTGTGGGACGGAGGCTGTTGGCCTTTTCTGACGACTTGGACTTGAGATCCGACTCGATAGGGGCAACGAATAGTCTATTGGGTTTGGGCGTGCGATTAGCAGGCCGCGAGGCGTAGAGTATCAGGTGGGAGTGAGCTCTGAGCCGTGAGAAGATAGGGAGAAGCGCATGTTGGCGTAGAGAAGCAACTTGAGATGGATTGTGCGAAATGGCTGACAGATGTGGAGAGGTAGATAGGTGATGCGAATGGACGCGACGCGCCAGCAACTGTGATTCCAACTGGCCGAAACTGACGTTGAGCCAAATTCGGCTGCACAGACGCGGCGCAATGGCAAACCCAGGGCAGTCACTTACGGGAGACCCATGTTTATGGGATGGCGATCGCGACTGCAGATGCAATTGCAACACACGGAATCGATCCAAGCCTGTGTCGAGATGGCGGGGTAGTCGGCGTGATTGTCGCGATGCGATGCGTAATGATGGTACCAGCGCGCGCGACCGTGAAGTGGATTTTTTCGGGGGGCTTCAGGTCGTGGACCAGGTGATCCGTGGGGCGGACAGTTGAAGAGTGGATGTGGCGGCAGAGGTGGAATGCATGGGGGGGGGGGGTAAGGGGGCAAGGGGGTGCAGGGGGGGCACAGAGGTGACGACGCAGGCTACTCTCATTCGCTCGCTCACTGACGTAAGGTATCCTGACACGCCTTCCGGACTTGTGTGCATTAGTACTAGTGCGGTACTCTGCACCGTGAGTCGCGGCTTCTCGTTTTCGGGTAACCGCTAACAGCATACACCCATGCACAGTTATCTCCCCTGCCTCCTTATCAGCAGGCCGGTTTAGGTGGTATATCTTTTGATAGCATGCATATATGGTTTAGATAAATTCACTGGCTTCCTGGGCTTCGTTGAGAGAGAGAGAGAAAGTGAATTCCGTTGGATTGAGCCGGGCCAATTTTCATTCGCCCTTGAACTCGTTTCAATATTTTGACAATCTGTCCTTTCATGCATGTACCTGCACACATTGCTGCCCGCTGTCTGCTGAGGGGTCTAGAGCGTTGCCGTCGGAAAATCGTCATCGAGGGCGCTGCAAGATGAAGGGCGTCAGTCTGAACCTCCAGCGCATGGCTCGCGCCATGGGATCAGTGTCTCAGTCATGGGAAGCCATCCACGTCGCCGGCACAAACGGGAAAGGGTCGATCTGCACATACTTGTCGGCTCTCTGTCAACGTTCCAACATTCGCAATGGCTTGTTCACGTCACCTTACCTGGTTGAGCCCCGAGACGCCATCAAGATCGACGGTGTCCCGATTCTTCAGAGAAATTATGCCCGTTATCGTCAGCAGATCCTGGATGACCAGGCCTTGAGAACGGCAGAAGACGGACAAGGAGACGTGCCGACCAGTAGAGTGATGGCTCCGTTGACCGAGTTTGAGCTGGTCACCATGACGGCCTTCACAGCGTTCGACGATGCCACGATTGATATGGGAATTGTGGAAGTCGGCCTAGGTGGGCGGCTAGACTCAACCAATGCACTCCGCACCAAGAAAGTCACTGTCATCGCCAAGATCGGACTGGATCATCAAAAGATGCTCGGCGAGACACTGCCCGAGATCGCCAAGGAGAAAGCAGGCATCATGATGGCCAATGTGCCTTGCGTCGTGGATGGCAGCAACCCGCCAGAGGTTCTCGAGGTTTTCCGCCAACACGCACTCGGAGTCGGTGCGCCCCTCTACTTGACCACAGATTACAGAGATCTGTTGGAAGAGCTGTACCAGTCTGAGGTCATGCCTCATCAAGCCCAAAACATGGCTTGTGCCATCGCCGCTTTCCGCCTCGCCTTTCCAGAGGTGAAGCTCTCAGTTGCCGAGGCCTTGCCTGTCATGGCAAATGCCTTGCACCGAGGAAGGCTTTCGTGGCTTGATGTGAGTCGCCACTTTTCTTCCCGCAAGGACAAGCCTTTTCTTGTCGATGGCGCCCACAATCCCCAGTCCGCTGGCACCCTATCGGCGTATGTAGAGAAGCATGTTCGTCAAAATGATGAACCCATATCGTGGGTCATCGCCGTATCAAATCAGGATGGAAAGGATGCACAAGGCATGTTCAGGACACTCTTCCGGCCAGATGACAAAGTCGCATGTGTAGCTTTTCGCAGGCGATCAACGATGCCCTGGGTGGAACCAGTCGAGCCATTGTCCCTTGCGAAAACCATTCAGACGCTCGGTTTCACGGTTCGCAACTTTGATGAGGGCAGTACACCATCTGATACCTTGGCCGAAGGAAGTTCATGGGCAGTTCAGCAGAACACACCTGTGGTAGTGACAGGAAGTCTATACCTAGTCGGTGACGCTTATGATCTATTCGACGACATATTTTCACATGAAAGGAGCGCTGAGGACATTTGAGGTATCCTGTGCCTCAAATCTACTCACGGTGGTATCAGAAACTTGAATATTCAACTAGCACGGCCTTTCAAAGATACCCAATTATAAAAAATCATTACACATGGAACATCTCGTCACATGATTTTGTGCTTGTTTGAGGGATTTATGCGCATGAAATCCGTTCCCTCTAGGCGTTAGACATCTACGAATGGCCCTGATCAAAGGTGAAGATGGTGATCCCGACTCATCTTGTGATTGTGTGCTGCCATGGTGTCTGGATCGGCGGACCAGCGAAGGGTCTTGACGAATCGGAATGGCTGATTGCAGACTTCCAAGCTGGAGAAACTCCAACATTCGTCGATCACATTAAGGCTGGTCTGCAATGCATCGGCGAAAATCACAACGCAGTTCTGGTGTTTTCCGGGTATGCAATTCCTCTATAGCCTTAATAACGTTAGCCTCAGCTCATTTTGATGCAGAGGACCTACTCGTCAAGAAACACGCCTTTCCGAGGCCCAAAGCTATGCCAATTTAGCTTCAGCGAACAACTACTTCGGCATCCTGTCCACAGGAAGCGACACGACCAGTCGTGTATTCATAGAGGAACAAGCGTTGGACTCGTATCACAATGTCCTTTTCTCCATCATTGCCTTTTGGCGTCGCTATGAGTTTGTAGCATGGCCTCAAGTGATCACAATCGTCAGTCATGCATTCAAGCGAGCTCGGATTGTTGATGGGCATTGCAACGCCATCGGGTTTCCTCTACACCGTGTCGTATTCCATGGCCTTGATCCGCCCGGAATGACGGCGCTTTCTGGACAGGATGTGCGAAATCAGGAGGCCTTGGCGGGTGTTCAGACGGCTGTAGACCAGTGGCAAGCCGACCCCCATGGTGCCGGTCAGACCTTAGCAGGCAAGAGAGCGAAGCGCAATCACTGGGCTATCGACCAGGCATTATTTCGCACTGAAGAAGAGAGGATCAGAAGTGGCATTCAAACAACAATCACAGAGCTTGGCGGCGTGAGACTGTCGGATGAGGGATTCAGACCATGGGCTTGAGGCACACTGGAGTTCTTCATAGCTCTTGATGTTCATTCGATTGAAATAGACCCTCCGTTCCTTGGTCTTTATTGTTCGGTTCTGGCTTGACCTCCCGCCCGGATTGACAATAACTATATCTTGGACTTTCTCTCTTCCGAGCCATACCTCTCTCCCCCGTCTCCCGGAGGACCTGACGCCACCTCGTCTAGCAAGAACCTCACCGCATCCTCCACCATGCCTTCGCTGAAGGCATGGCCGACCCCCTCGTACACCTTGTTTTCCAGGACGACGCCTCCATCGTTGTACCAAGTCTTTGTGGCATCCTCTAAAAATTCAAGGAACCGCCTTGATTGAGAATAGGGCACCAGTCGATCATCGCCGCCGGAGCAGACGAGGAGCTTCTTGCCCTTAATACGGCCATCCAGAACCGTCCTGAGCCGCTGCTGCTCTTCTTCGGATGGCTTTTTCGAAATTGAACTCGTGCCAAAGAGAATGGCCTTCGGGTCATGTTTAGCGCAAGCCCGAACCAGATCCCTGGGGAAATCCTTGCTTCCCAGAAAGGAAGTGCCCTTGTCCTCAGCGCTGTAAGTCGATAGCTCCGCGTTCTTGGCACGATTGGTCATGAGGGCTGCAAACTTGTCAGTATCGTCACCACCAGGCCAGGAGCTGTTCTATATGTAGACCATTGAAGGTGAGACTTACCCATGAAATCAGGACAACCAATGATAATGACTGCTGCACGGATCCTCGGCTCAGCGAACAGGGCCTGCCAGGCACTGTGGCCACCCAGGCTAACGCCCAAGAGCAGATGTTGGTCAATCTCGCCGCCCCAGCCCCCATCCTTGATTCCTCTGAGCTCATGTGCAACATAGCCATCCACAAGATCAATGAGGCCCCGAGTATCAGACACCATGCCAGCGATGGCACCCGCCATGTCAATAGCGTGTGTAGCGTTACCCTTCTTCCAGGCATTATTGGCTCGCTCATCTACGAGGCGTCCACCATGATTCCGTTGGTCAAAAACGACGGCGATGAGCCCGCGGGTGGAGTGGCTGTCTCTGCGTCGCTGGTGCCAGTCAGACACAATGCGCATGGCGAAGCCGGCCATGTCTTCCTTGCGTCGCGTGCGAGGATGGTGAAGCCAGAGACAGGAGACTGCAGTTGTTGGCAGGGAGGCTATTTCTTCAAGCCCGTAAACATCACAAGGTAGGCCGGCCATGAGGATTGTTCGCTTTGAGGCAGACGGCTCCGCCGCAGGCGTGGTCATGGGATTTTCCACTCCAGACATCTCGGCGATGGTTCGAGGTTCGAGAATGCGAGGATAGCTGTAATGAGGAATCAAAAAACCTTGAGCTCGTGGTTCAAGTGATCAAAGGAAGAATGCGTTACTGGCAAAGCGTTGTGATGTGGTTGAGTGTTGAAGCTTGCTTCCCTTGGGTGCTGGGGGCCGAGGTTCAGGCAAAAGCTGGAGACGGTCGTTGCGATGTCATCAAGCAGCAAGATGTCTCAGTAGTGCCTATACCTCAACCGAACAGCCCTGCCACAACGGTCCCATCAGAATGACGAAGCAAAGTCGGCCAGCACTTCTCCAATAGAAGGCACTTCAAGAAAAGAGCCATGGCTAATAATGGTTATATTGCTAAAACTGTCGCGAACTAAAGCTCGACATGCAACAGCAGCGCTTGCTAATCAACGTCGCCTCGTAGCCATCGAAACCCGGGCACCACGACGAGCCCTGTGATGACGAGAACCATCATTTGAAGCAAAGATGCAAAAACGACCTGTGTGGAACCCTCCGAACGCCTCGAGCTCTGCTCCAACCAGAAACCTGTCGTTAAACCGCAGTCCCGTTGCCTAATCGATCTATGTACTGCTCACTGAATAGTAGCGTCTGAGCCCAACGCATCACGTTTCACTTCCTTCCCTTGCTTTGTTCTCTCCCCGCTCCATGCTCCTTTCCATCTCTCGGGGTATCCTTCTCAAGCTCTGCCACGGCTCCACCTTCTTGTCGCGCAATAGATCATGGCCAAGCTACGTTCAGCACCTCGCGTACCTTTTTTGGTCTTCCCATCTTCCACGTTTAGTCCATCTTCCAGTGGTTTGTGAGGCCGCTCTCTGGATCATCGCTGCCGAGGTACAGCTCAATCGCATATAATGACATGGTTGCAGCAATGTTGATCCATCGCCAGACGTTTCCCCCAGCATCGTTCCCACGTAGACTCCAACCATCCGGGCCGTCGTCGGTGTTAAAGTGTTGAAGCAGAAGACTGGTGTACATGGCGATTAGAATCGACGGCGAGAAGTACGAGGCAAGCCCCAGGAGTCGGTTAACAGCGTCCGATTCCTCCTCACTAGGCTGTTCCATCAGTGCGCGAGCGCCAGACTCACGCACCGCAGGGATGATGCGGGTGGCGCAGTAAAACACGAAGAGGCGGAAGGTCAGCGAAATGATAGCGGATGGGGTAATCGTTTGGAAAGCGGCGTAAAGCAGGGTGAGAGACGAGTGAACGGCCGACGGGAGCGAGCCCAGCATGTGGAGAAGTGTCGAATAAGATGCCATGATGATAGGTGGCAAAGGTGGGAAGTCGGGTTCTGCCGATGCCTGACCCTCTGCTTGGGCCGCGTCCGGCGACGGCAGATAGTCAGTGAAGATCTGGTAGACGCAGAGCACCACGTATGCGAATAGTAGCGAGGATTCGACAACATTTCCTCGTCCGCTGTGGATACCGTATGCACAAAGGAAAAAGGCGGATGTCATGGTGACTCCGATGAGCGCTCCGTCGATGTTGCTGATCGAAGGGAAGTGTGCGACGCGCCACAGGAAGTACAGCGCGCTTGCGATGATGCCACCAGACAGCACCAATAAAATAATCTGCGGCATCATTAGTATGCCATTCTTGAACATGATGACCTGGCTTGCCAACTTACCATCCACGTATCGCTGCGACCCCGATGGACAAGCCACCTCGTGATCTGGCCAGCTGCTTGGATGACCAACAAGCTGCAGAAGCCCTCCATCAGCTGAAATACAGGGCTCGAGTACCGCAAAGTATTGTCCCAGCCCCCCAGCGTCAGGAACTCGAGAACACCATTCTCGCCAAACACCCATTCGTTCCATGTGGTGGACTTGGATGTCGCGAGGCCCTGAAGGGTCCTCTCGACCCAGTTACTGCTTCCAGCATCGACGGCAAAGCGCCCCAGTGCCCATATCAACAAGGCGGGAAGGACAATCCACTGTGAGAGCCGTAGCAGGTGAGATATGGTCCAGCGGACTCTTGACGTGGCTGGCGTCGCCGCCGCGACAGCAGAGAGCACGAAGTAGAAGCCAAACAATGCTAGACTGTAGGCTAGGCCGCTGTCTCTGCCGCCGACATCGAAGGCGACTGGTATGGAAAGAACTATGCTCAGCAGGAAGATGGAGCTGGAGATAAAGCGGAAGAACCACCACATCGGCGCGACAAGCTGGCTAGCTGGAGCCGCGCCGTCTGGGGGTAGAGTTGAAGTGACGAAGCGGCGACGCAGTCGAGACTGTTAAAAAAATGCAGCAGTTGATAGAAGCCGCTGCGAGATCGGAGTTCTACTCGTCGGGGAAAGGCGATTTGCTTGTTTCAGTTCTTCCTCTTCTGCGTCGTCGGTCGGTCGGTGAGGTGGTAGTAGCGTGTGATTTGTGTGCGCAGTGCTTGTGTTGACGTGATCCCACAGATCTGGAGTGGCCACGGTCAGCCTTGGACAGTAGCTATCTGCGTTTGTTGGCGACTCACGGTGTAACTTTGGTCCTTGGAACCTGGAGGACCTTGTGGGAGGCTGGCAAGCTGGTGGTACCCAGCCTGGTAAATTGCGGCGAGTGGGCTACGTGATTTTTCGGCCCTGCACAATGCCATGGGACGATAAAGTTACCCTGGAGCTTCCTCCCTGGTTGACCTGAGGTATAATCTATTGCCTATCTTCACGTGAACAGCTTAAGGGCCTAAGCAGCTAATTACTCACTAAATACTATTTAGCTCCGAGCAGTCATAACTAATTACCTAATAGTAAAATCAGCTTTTTATCAAGGTAAATTTACTTATACTAAGGTAGTTATCTATATAGTAGAGAAATATACATTTTAATACTATAAGCGCTTAGTATTATTTACAGTACTTATAGTAATTAAGATACTAAGCCTGTAATATGGGTACCTTCTTCTTATATAATATATAGACGTAGTGCCCTATCGACTATTAGCTGAACCCCTGATGATTTCCTGGCGGCCGGAAACTTCAGGGTCTTGATAGTTCGCCGCGTGGGGTGGACAGTGGATGGCACAAATCAGGAGGTCACATGTCAACATGTCAGTCTCAGTTTTAGTGCCCATTCTCAGCGACGAAAACGCAGCATTATCGTGCTGGTGACACAACAGATTTCTATGACGATGAGAGCAACCGTGGCGCTGCTATTCCTGGCAAGATGTCGGACATACACAAACCAACATAAGATATAGGACAGCAGGAAGTCGCACAGATCCTGCTCACGTGCGCGTGGAAGCTGCGCAGATTTCTAGAATGCACACCCGTCCGAGGCTGGTCTTTGCTCAGTTCACCGATACCTTACTTACCCCTGGAGCACGCTGGAATCAGTGCTACGTGCGGTGCGCATGCCTCATGATTGGGTGTTGGCAGTGTCTAAATGGTGGCGATCTCCACTGATACCCGTGCCCCGCTACTACAGGAGATGAGCACTGACTTTGTGTTCTCGATGCCCTGAACTTTTGCCGCACTGGTGAGCGAGGCCTACGGTAGCCTCTCGAACCCCTATCCTGTCCCCCATTCTCACCATCCCGGCCTCCATCAGTCGATTTGCGGTTTCCGACGCGTGATCCCCTCCGTTCTCGTCTCGCCTCCCCTTGCCCTTCGAAGGACGAGCAGCGCCTCGTTGAATTTTCTTTTCGTCATATATCAATGAAGGCCTAGGATCCCCCGGTTGTCCCTCTCTTTCTTCTCCTCAGATTGACACCACACCTACACTCTCTCACAAAGTCGAAATGTCTGCTTCATCGACGGTCACCCAACCCTCCAAGCGCAAGACGGCCTCGTCTGCCACTGCCACTACCAATGGTAGGCTCAGCACCGACGATATCAAGTTGCCTCCCGACTCGGAGCGCGATCCTCTAGAGGTCAAGCACCGCGACTTTTTCTGGACATACACCGAAGAACCGCATCGCACAAGGCGTCTTGCCATTATCAAGGCCCACCCTGAGGTAAAGTTTGGAGAGAATTCCTGACTTCTGCAGCTCCAATTGACCAGTCTGTTCCGTTGCAGGTTACCAAGCTCTGCGGACCCGAACCTCTGACCAAGTACGTCGTCGCCGGCGTCGTGTCCCTCCAGATCTTCCTCGCATACACCCTCCGGAATACCTCTTTCTTTGACTGGAAGTTTTGGGCAGTTGGCTACATCTTCGGTGCCACCGCAAACCAGAACCTCTTCCTCGCCATCCACGAAATCTCCCACAACCTCGCCTTCCGCTCTCCATTGGCCAATCGTCTCATCGCCATCGTTGCGAACCTCCCTATCGGCGTCCCCTACTCGGCATCTTTCCGCCCCTACCACCTGACACACCACAAGTCCCTTGGGGTTGACGGCCTCGACACCGACCTCCCCACCGCGCTCGAAGGCATCTTCCTCGACAGCATCTTGGGCAAGGCGTTCTTCTGCACGTTCCAGATCTTTTTCTACGCCGTCCGGCCCATGGCTATCTTCCGCATCCCATTCACCTGGGTCCACTACCTCAACATCGCCGTCCAGCTCGCCTTCGACTACGCTGTCATCACGCTCGCCGGCCCCAATGCCTTGCTCTACTTCCTCCTTTCGTCCTTCCTCGCCGGCTCCCTGCACCCGCTTGCAGGCCACTTCATTGCCGAACACTACGTCTACGAGACCGTTACCCCCGAACAGCGCGACCCCAATAACGCCGTGCCCGTGCCTGAGACTTTCTCCTACTACGGACCCCTCAACTTCCTGACGTACAACGTCGGCCTGCACAACGAGCACCATGACTTCCCCGCCGTGCCCTGGACCCGCCTGCCCAAGCTCAAGGCCATCGCCCATGAGTTCTACGACGATCTTCCCCGCCACGAGAGCTGGAGCTATGCCATCTGGCGGTTCATTTTCGATGAGAACGTCGGCATCAACAGCCGTGTTAAGCGGAAGGAGGGAGGCCGCAAGGTTGGCGGTGGTGCCAAATGGAAGCAAGACGAGATCGAGGCATAGATGATATTACGGAAGTTCGGGAAATGGACTCGCACAGAGGAGAAGGTTTTGTCATTGTGCTGGTACAATGCTTGGTAAACTGTGTTTGCATTGGTAATGAGTTTGTTTATAGACATGAAAAGTATGATACCATTGGATTTCTGGTTCGCACCAGTAATGTTGTGCCACAACCGTTGGGCCGCCACGAGGCAGGTTCCTGCAGTTCTCACGTTGCACGACAACGCGCACAAATGTGCCAAATGCACAATCGATAAAACTAAGGGAACAAAATGTACAGAGTGTGTGTATGAGCAGACACCTCGCGCCCAGCTCCAGGGGGGTCAACACCCCTATCCCAGCCCCTGCCCCGAATATTCATCTCACATCACCAACATGAGCCAATCGACGGTCGCAGCCCTTAATGGCGGTGACGCTGAAGACTGAAACACAGCATTTAGAACCCGTCCTAATTGCGCCCCCCGTGAGAGGCCGCCCACCATTCTTCATACTCCAGTACCGCTATGCGATTGGCGTCTTCTGTTGTTGTCCAGTAGGAAGCCAAAATACAGATCCTACCACGTGTGTCTTAGAAGAAGAAGTAGGCGAGCAGGAAGCTCAGAAGACAAAGCAGCGCGACGATTTGAACGGAGACACCATCAACGTTCTGTCGCACAGCCGCAGCGGCTTCCTGCGTGGAGGGCAGCTTCTCACTCCCCGCTTTGACGCGCTGCCGGAGGCCTCCTCCCTCCTGAAGGGCGATAATTCTGGCCTCTGCCTGCTGCAGCTTCGCCTTGATCTCCTCGTACGTGAGCTGAACGGTGTGGGACACGGCGGCGGTAGCGGCAGAGACGGTGGACTGGTCGTGATCGGAGCCTGCGTCGTGCTGGGACTGCGCATCGGCGGCACCTCTGTAAGACGGAGGCGCAGGGCTGGTGCCGGATCGGGCATCTTCTCCGGGAGAAGAGAAGGTACGCGACACATCAGGAGTGTCGTTCTGTTGTGAGCTGTCAGCTCAATCTGACCAATCTCCCCACGAGGGGGGAAAGGTGAGGTGGAGGGAACTAACCGTGGAAACATCAGCAACTGAGCGACGGCTGGGCGTAACAGCAGGGCCAGGAGCGCTGGCGCCGTCCTCAGACGACGTGATCCAGTTCACACGGATCTTCCTCTCCTGGATGGAGGACTTATCGGAGGTCTCGAGCTGCAAATCACCTTGTCAGGCATCGGTATGATACGTCGCAGGTAGATAAGATCTTCTTACGACGCTGGCGATGCTGGCAAATTCTTTGTCACCAGTAATAGGGGCAGACTGGACCAAGAACTTGTCGCGGCATTTGGTGCCAGGGGCCGGCTCCTGCTTCATGGCCTGCAACAGGACTTCTTCGTGTCAGCGCTTACGTTGGCTGTTTTTAGCACACTGTTCCATACCAGTTACTTCAACATCTTGACCAGGTTCAACGCGGCCAGAGTTTGGGCGAACGCAGTACTGCTTCGGGGCGGTGGTTTTGACCTTTGTCGCATTAGCCACACCATCTTGCGACGCGGACTGATTATGATGATACCTTGAAGGCAATGGGGGTCTGGTTGGGGTTTTTGATTCGCAGGGTTCTGGAGATCTCGACGGTGAAGGGCTCTGTCTATAGTCAGTAGGCAGCACGTGGAAGGGGGAACACTGATTTGCAAGCAAACATACGCTGAAAGCTGAGCTCAAAGGGCTCAATCTCGACCGACATGATGGCGATAGGGCTTTGTTTTGGTGCGCAAAGTATGTATTCGGATAAGTCTCTCTTGATCTCAGCAGCTTCTGAGGGGGGTTGTGGACGAGGGTTGCAGCTGTACCGTCTCGTGAAAGTTGGCCGGGTTGTGTGGAAAGTCCGTAGCTCTGTCTTGTTGCATCACCAGCAACCTTAAAGCTGGCAACAGCGCCCCGACGTAATGAGATGCTCTGGACCTGGCGCTTGGTCCGAGCTCTTCCGTGGGGATCCACTCTCCTCTGTTTCTGCCTCTCCCTCAGTCCAGTCAGCTGGCACTGAACCGCGGTCGTTCGACCCCTCACACCACGTAGCGAGACCAGCACGTGATTCCAGCACTGCCTACACCGTTCTGGATCGACGACAACCATTGCTCTGGAATCAAAAGGCTTACCATCACTGATCATGCTGGGCAGTACCAACTGCTGTATATATGTCACGCCAATGGCGTGCAGCGGGGACCGAGCGACCGCTTCATCAGGCAGTATGAGCATGTTGCAATGGAGGGCCTACCACATCACAACAATAATCCAGCGTCATGTACTTGGATACCTACCTAGTGATTCCTACATCTTGTTGCTGCCCCAAGTGGCCTCCAGGTGAAGGGTGGGGCTGGCCTTGAATTTCTAATGAAGAAACCCCTCCTTAAGGCCCCAATGTGGATGACGTAAGTGGGCTCATCGAAAGTGATGCCTCCCGGACAGATTGCTCTGGTTGGAGCAATCCGTTTGGTTTTACACGTTACCACCAACAACCATCGGAATCTTATACGTGTGATCCACCCCAAGAGCTTCCCTTCATCAACTGACCCCGCCAACCCACTACCTGCAACACACCACTGAACAATACTCTGCCGCCAATATGGGACAGTCCGATCTTGACCTCCTGCTCGACATGGGCTTTGAACGTGCACGCGCTGAGCTCGCAATTAAGAAGTCTGGTGGATGTAAGACGCTCTAGCCTACCGTCTCGGCTCAAGTACTGACCGAGCTACATCAGTGCAGGGTGCTCTTGAATGGCTGGAAAATAACCAAGATAAACCGCTTGAAGAGCTTGTGGCTGCCTCGAGCGCCAACGCTGCCGGCGACGACGACGCCGACGACGCCGATGAGGTGAAGGCCAATATCGAAGCACTCGAAAGCGGCTCGGCCAAATCACTTGTCTGCAATGACTGCGGCAAGCTGTTCAAAAACCAAGATCTTGCTAGTTTTCATGCTTCCAAAACGTATGACAGCCTCATTGGAGCAATGGTCTGTTATTGGGGGCACGCTGACAGGCTTGTACAGCGACCATACAGACTTTTCTGAGTCCACTGAAGAGATTGCACCATTGACTGAGCAGGAAAAGAAGGAAAAGCTCGAAATGCTACGAGAGAAGCTCAAGGCGAAGCGAGCCAACCAGGCTGCTATAGACAGAGAGGAAAACAAACGCAACGAGGCGATCCGCCAGAAAGCTACGCAAGAGAGTCAGGATGCGAAGGAAGAGCTCCAGCGAAGAGAACAGATCAAAGAAGCTGCCCGCAAGCGCCAGGAGAAGCTCGATGATCTCGAAGCCAAGAAGCGCATCAAGGCGAAGATTGAGGCGGACAAGGAGGACCGCCGTCGTAAAGCTGAACAGGCCAAGGCGGCGAGAGAGGGCCATCCGGCGCCTGCACCAGGGCCTGTCACTGCTCCCTCTCTTCCCAAGGTCACCGCAAACCACTCAGAGGCCCGACTTCGTCTTCAGACTGCAAACGGCAATATTCTCAAGACATTTGCTGCGGAAACCACGCTCTTCGAAGTGGCGCAGCAGTTGCAGTCAGAAAGCGGTATTACAGTGACGAGCTTCTCGACAACCTTTCCCAGGAAAACCTTCGAGGGATCGACTGACTTCAGCAAGACACTCAAGGAAGCCGGTCTTGTGCCCAGCTCTGTTCTAATTGTCAAATGAGGCGCCACTTTGTGGACAAACGGAACGGACATGGAAGATTGAATCATGGGGTTGCATAGCTTTTGGCGTCGGGACGAAGAAGCCGCCGTTACAAGGTGACTGGAGGTGCTAGATCAGTACATGCGCATATACAATTGCAGTTCACGCTACTCATAAGATGTGCCAGCCTCGTCACACACACATGCACACGCACCGAGACATCACTGGTGGCATCACACGTCTCACCAACTCCCCAATTGTTCTGTCAGACTCGTCGTGGAATTTTTTGAGGTTGTCCCTGTGAACTCCGTGTAGAGAGCGTTCTTCATGAGAAGCTACTCCGTCCAGGCAGCCGGATATCGTGCCTCCATCCAACCCTTTATGATCGTGCGATTCGCAGAAATTCCGGAGCCATGCAGTTGAAGTACAAAGGGAAGGAAGTTGTCGTCGTTGCGGGTTTAAATCGCTTAATCGAAAAGACCGAAGCCCATGTCGTCGTCCGACTCCTCCTTCTCTGTGCCATGTGTTAGTTCTCGATCGTAGTGTGGGGTCGTGGTAATAAACCTACCCTCCTCCTTCGGCGCCTCAGCCTCGGCCTCAGCGGCACCGCCAGCGGCGGCACCACCAGCGGCAGGGGCAGCGGCGGCACCGCCACCGGAGCCGACGTTGGAAAGAAGGTCCTTCACGTCCTTGCCCTCAAGAGCCTGTGATCCCCCATGTTAGTCCGGGAGTCCGTTGTCGTCGGTTACTGTGATCGGTCGTACCTTGGCGAACAGGGAAGTCCAGATGGGCTCAACATCCTCGACCTTCGCGGCCTTGATGAGGGTCTGGAGCTTGTCGGCCTGGTGAACATTATGTCATTAGCAAATTGCCTGTGGTTCTGCAAGTCGCGAGGTCTGCCCCGCGACGTAGTGGAAGCGGCTGGAACTCACAGTGATCTCAATGCCTTCATCGGCGAGGATGAGCGCCGCGTAGGACGAAGCAAGTTCGGCGTTCGACATTGTGATGGTGATCGGTGGGTTGAGACTGATCGGTAGGCTTGTCAGGCGCAATGCGGTTGTGATCTCGAAAGGAAGTCTTAAGATTACAAGCGCGAAGTCACCACACTGAATTTGCCCGTCGAAGATAATTAGCAGGGCTTTGAGACCTAAGCGAAAAGGCACTTACAAATGGGTCCCATCACTCGTCAAGGGACTCTGGTTGGCTGCCGCGTCCAGCCAATCATTTCTGGGTTATGGGGCACTCACTGCCTCTTGGCCGATCGAGCAGACCCCCTTGCTGATGTGCCGCCTTGGGGCCTTGCGTCTACCCCACCTTGTCCACTTCCGTCGTGATGTTCCCCTCCCCCCACTATGACCTCCTGCACGACCATCAGAGACCCTCTGACGTTCTGTTGGTTCCATCACATTTCAGCTTGTCGGTACTCTGAGATCTCACCATCAACCGCGAACATCGACAAAGTGGTATATCAACGTGAGACGCGTTCTCTTTAATATCGCTGCTTAACATACACTCACGCATTGATCCGATTACATCCGACCGAGCGCTCCAGCCGCAGTGCAGCGTCCTGAGCCGAGGCGACCCGAGTCATCTGCGCCTGCACCCAGCTTCGAAGCTTTGCCTCTGCCGTCACCAAAGATCTTTGGAGATCACGATCGACAGTACAATCATTCTTGCAGGCTCGTACACATAAGGTAGCCGAGAACTTCCCTCCGCAAGAACATAATGGACACTCCGACATTCCCGCCACCGAAGGATGCCGTGGAGCAAGAGGTCCTCGATAGACTTGTGTCCATCCGCGACAAACTGCAGCTTCTCAAGCAGGATCGCAAGACGTACATGCAAAAACAACATGTTATCCCTTTATACCAGGAAACCGTTGAGCAAGTCCGCCGACTTAATGAGTCTCGTTCCGGCGACCAGAAGATTGAGGAGAACAGAGGTAGCTACCCACACTTTCGGTGACATATAGTAGTGATATGTCCTTGCTGTCCTTGGAACCCATTCTGACCCTCTTGACAGTCGATAGAGTGCTGGATAGCTGTTTTCAGCTTCTCTCGCTCTGCTTCATGACGATTGGCCAAAACAACAGCGCACCGGCTGCTTATGCTCTTACCGCCACCATCAAGCGACTACTAGACCACTTGACAGAGGTCGACTTATTCAGTGCCAAGGATCTTGAATCTATATCAGAGACGCTCAACCAGCTGTCACGCAATATCAAGCACAGTTCCGAGTATTCCTCGCCGTACTTGATTACCCTTCTCATGAACCGACTCGACCTTTGCAAGAGGTCTTTGGCCAGCCTCCAGAAGCGCTTGAGCCGTCTGGAGGACCCATTGCCAAACGTGCACGAGAAGCTCATCTCTATATTGCGCTCCATATCTCTAGCCAACACACGAACAAAGGTATTGCTACTCATTGCCCTCTATTGTCTTGAATGTTACTTACACGTCTGTTCCTCAGTTTTCGGCATCAGAAGTCAAAAGCCTGCGAGCGCAGCTGAAGGAGATTGACGAGAAAGTCAAAGCCAATAAGTACTTGACAGTGGATGGCAGGCAACCGGCAGGCAGCGAGGATGTCGACTTCTTGTTGAGGAAGTGTTTGCTTTGGTCGGACATTGTTCTCGAAAGGTACGTTGGCGTAACAATCAAATGCTTGCTCCAGACGCTGACTTCTCTTTGAACAGGCGGGGTGTGATATCTGAGCCGTTCAAAGCCACCTATGACATTCTAGTACGCATCAGGAATGATCTCGAAACCCTGTCTATCACTAGCAAGTGGTCCCTTCGCGAGGCAGACCTCTACGACTTTCAGCGCCAGCTGGACAAAATCGATGAAAGCCGAGTAAACGGAAACTGGAAGGATGAAGACGGCAAAGAAGCAGAGCTTTATATTCAGAGGGTGAGTCCCGCTGCGTTGTATACATGATGGTGCCTAACTCCAGTACCAGACCTTGTTGTACCTTGTCCGGAGAAGTTACGGTTACATCTACTTCCTGATGATTTCGTCGAACCCAGTGTCCGAAGCTTTGCAACCAACCTTCAACCAACTTCAAACGTTGAAGAAATGCTTGATCGAAGTCAGGAACAATGGTGGAGTATCAACTGTGAGGGAGTTGTACCCCTATAGCCTCAAGGTATGTCTTGAATGATGCTGTTTGCACGGCACTCGCTTACATGATTGCGAAGCTCAACTCAATTGACAACTTGCGAGTCGACGGCAAGTTCATGTTCAACGGCGATATTCCCGAAGGCCAAGGAAGCGTCAACGAACTCTTGGCCGAATGCTTCGAGATTAACTACGAGCTACGAGTTGCAGCCGAGGCGGCAGCCGAGGCAGTGGACGTGGACGATGACGAGGATGAGACGCCAGTATCGGGAGATGTGGATGCCGAGGCCTCAACCGAGGCCCTCGCTAAGGCTCTCGAGGATTCGAAGCTTGAAAACAAGTCCGAGGGTCAGGTAACAGCTTAAGGGAGTGTGTGCTCAAGGCTCCGCCTGACTTCCAGCTTCCCTTCGCGCTTTGTGCGACAAATTCTTGACGCAAGGCACATGAAAACGGTATTTGGAGTTTTCCGGTCAAGATATGCGGCAGACTTATTACTTGGGTGGTTACCACGGTGTTTTCGCGGTCATTTACTGCACTGTTCCAAGTCTGCGGTTGTACTATTCAATTGTTACAGGCGGAGGTTTCAGGCTGGGAAGGGGGCAAACCGGGAATCGGCGAACTGAGGGCGTTGTGTTGTTCCCGGCATAAGGATGTGTTGAGTGCACATGAGTAGCGTCAATTAAGGTCATGGGTCGCTCAAATTATATGAAAGTTTCCCTACTGTTCTACGGGACGTCTAAAGGCGCATTTGAACTGTGAATATGTCAGCTGGATGGACTCTTCATTTGTGGTGATGGGAGGATAGCGGCGGAACATACTGGCCACAGTTGAACCTGACGAACATATTAGCAAAGCAGTATTGGCAGCGATGCGGAACTAGATGTACCTTTTCGAGATCCCAGACTCCAGCCTCAGCATAAACATCCTTCTCCAGCCAACCCATAACCTCCTCCCTGGATTCTGCGAGGCAAACCAGAGTACTGCCGTTGAATTTCAAGCTCGAGGGCTCGTCATCCGCAGGGACCTCGTCCAGGAGAGCGCCGCCCATCTTAAAGATACCGGCATCAAGCTTGTCCTGGAGGTTTTTGAAATGCGTACTAGAACAGCGTAAGAAGGAGGTACAAAACGGGACATGAGCTTGGCCCTTGCGAGTGTACGCTGCAGACTTGAGTGTGACATACGGGCGGACCTCAAGGCGCTTGGCGAGGGTATCGGGCTTGTCGGGAACGACAACGAGCCACTCATATTTGCGAGGTGCGGCAGAGGATGCCATGTTGTGTTGGAACCGGGTGATGGTAAGGAAGTTGGGCTGGACAGGACGAATACGAGGGATGAGTCGAGAAGCCATGACGATGAGGTGCAGACGACGTGGATACTGTTCTTTATACCTTATGTCAATAGTGCACGGAGATGCCACCAAAGCACTATGAGTACGATGCTGGAAGGGAACTCTATGCAGCCAGCACGGTCACTGTAACAGAGCTTGGTTGGTTGGTAATGGTTGGATGTACTGGGTGACTGGGAGAGGGGAGCGTACGCCCTTCAGCGCACATCTGCGCCCTTTAGCGTGACTTATTTTGGGTGCTTGCTGACGAGCACCGATGACCCCACTCTCAAGGCAAGCTGTAACAATGCTAATGGGCAAATAAGCTGGATTTGGCGTGTTCAAATGCTAGGATTCTGAACAAATAAGAGACTTCTGTCGTTTTCAGGGTGCTATTATGTTAGGGGCCTTTCTTGCTCTAGCTAGATTTGTGATCGTGATGAGCCCGACTAGTGAGTTAGTTACTGAGCTCACTGAAAGCGAAAGTTGGGACAAGGGAACTCTGACCCGATTTTGCCCCGCCTTGATATTCTCTGATGCAGCCCACCTCACTCATTCATCACATCCGTTGGTCACTTTTTGATATAAGATCGTAACACCGGGTCTGGGACAGTTATACTTGAAAGCTGCTCTGACCTCAGATATACACGTGTCGGAAACGCCAGTCTGGTCATACCACTCTTCGAAATGTCCGCGCACGCGACAACCGACCCCTTCGACGACGTCATGAACCTTGAAGAAAGGTTCTATGAAGAAGGCTACACCCAAGGCACAAAAGATGGCGACAGGGCCGGTAAAATTGAGGGCCGTTCCGTTGGGCTGGCAAACGGCTACGATAAGTTTCTGGAGAGTGGGCGTCTCTATGGCAAGTCACTGGTGTGGGCAAATCGACTCCAACTTCGATCACCATCATCCGCCGAGGTGGAAGGCGCGGTGGCGGCAAGCACACCAGCAGGTCCCGCATCGATGACGGTCGAATCTTCAACAGGAGCTCAGAAGAAGTGCCTCCTACCGCCACTTCCGAGTACAAATTCTAGGCTTGAGAAGAACATCATTGTGGCACATGCGCTTGTTGAACCAGACACTCTGTCAACTGAAAACAACGACGACGCCGTCAATGATTTTGATGACCGGGTGAAGAAGGCGCAGGGAAAGGTCAAGGTCATTGAGCGGATACTTGGCGAACAGCCTACAGGAAGTGCAACTGCTGTCCATGGGAAGGCAGGAGGAGCCGCTTGAGGTTTAATCGAACGAGGTCAGAATCAAGGTAGACCAGATATTCATAAGGCTTTCGATGGCTTTCGACTGAAGTCCTCAGAATTGCTAGCGAATAAACTGGACTCAGACAGTCAGTCGCCTTGCCTGGCGCAACCAAGAGGGGCGAGCCTACTGATGTCGCGCCTCGGGGACAAGACCAAAATAAAACCACACAGAGACGAGGGTCCGAAAGCGACTTCTTGAATGAAATCTATTGTATTCTCCATGTACACTGTTCAACGTTCCCATGCCCCATAAATATGCTCCTTAACTCAGACGAATGACCGGCAAGAGTACCTAGAGCAAAATCAGCAAATGAATTACCCAGTGGAGGAAAATGTTGCACTTACTCGGCGGGGTATGAACCCTCAGTCTTGGGCTCGTACTTGTGTACATTCCAGGTTCCATCCGCCGCCTGCGCTGTTCCCGCTGGCGTCGGGGGAAGGCCGCCGATGAAGACATCCTGCTTCACCTCTCCGGGGCTCTTCTTTTGCAGGAAAACGGCGAGGCCACCCTTCTCGCCCTCAGCCTGGGCCTCGACGAGGGCCTTCGCGCCAGCCTCGCCGATAAGGTCGACCTTCGGCGATGCGGCAGAGCCGACGGTCAGCAGGCTCACGACATCGGGCTGGCCGAAGACGCTCGTCTGGGGGTAAGCGCGGCGAGAATCACGCTTGAAATAGGCATTGTCGGCGATATCACCGGCGGGAATGCTGACAGGGTCGTTGTAGGAGAGGGGGTCGTAGGCGCCAGGGGCCGGGTTGCGGAAGACAGGGTTGAGGGGAACACCGGACGAGCGGTTAGGGTCAATGGCGAAGGCGCGACGAATGCGCTCGGAGAGGCCGGTCGATTGAAGTGTGTGTTTCTGCAACGAAATTAGCACATTGGCTAGCGATACGTTGAATCGGGTAGCCAAGGATAGAAGCAGGCTGGAGACATTGAGGGTCATGACATCGCCTTCGTCGTGCAGAGGAGGGCGACCGCCGAGGACGGGAAATGTGTGGCTCTGCGGCGCAATTGATCGTTATTCTTACCTTGGAGATCTCCACGACACCACCAGCAGCTTTGGCAACTGCCTTCGAGGCCATTTTGACGACTTGTGGGGGGGTGATGTCGGTCGTGAACTTCGTGGTCGAATTCAAGAAGATGGACGGTTCGAGTTGCTCGTCAGCCGTCGCCAGCGTCGGGCGGGTCATGTCAATTGGAGAACTCCGATTGGCTGGTGGTGATGGCCTTACATAAGCGACCTGAAGGCATCAAGAGAGAGGGTGGAAGCATCCATCACCACATTTCAAGTTTGCGCGGATGCTTATTACGTTCACCCATGTCGGCTCTCGATGTTATGATGATGCGCAGAATATGCCTTCTATACACACTCATGAGGTAATCCCAGCCCAGGGGATGCGCCAAAAGTCCTGGCCTCCAATCGCCACAGGCTCATGAATCCCAATGTTAAGATCTGATGGCGCCTTCCCGATGCGATGAGCGCAGATGATTTGGGTTCCAAAATTCCGAGTCTCTTTGGTCAATGTTCATGCGAGTGATCTATTGACGAAGTCCCCTATTATCAGTCACTCATCAGACTCGCAACCCCACAGCACCTCATTCCTTCGCCCCCTCCGCCTCACCCTTTGACAGTTCCTCGACAAGTTTCTTAACCACTTCAACCGTGGCGGCAGGGCCGCCGGGCTCAGCGGCTAGGATCTTGCCCTCCTTGTTGACGACAAAGACGCCGCGCTGGGTTCCGGAAGGGGTCTTCTTCAGGCCAATTGCACCGATCAGCGTCCTCTGCGGGTCACACAGGAGAGGGTAAGGCAGCTCCTTCTTTTCCTTGAAGGTAGTGTTTGCCTTTGTCGAATCGGCCGAAAGGCCGTAAATGGCGAGGCCAGTAGCCGTCAGAGGCTCATACGAGTCGCGGAACAGACACACTTGGGTTGTGCCTATTGGCGCGCAAAGGCCGATATGTCAGCGAGCATACTCTACGGTGGTTCGCGCGGAGGAGTAGGTCCTTACATCCGGGAGTCGACGCCTTGGGGTAAGTGAAAAGGACGACGCCAGCCTTGCTCTCGTCCACGAGAGCCTTGAGTGTCGTCTTCTTGCCGTCGTTGGTCTCGATCTCGCCGCCGAACCCGTCGAGTGTGATGACCTCGCCTTCGGCCACCTTGGCGGGCTTGGCAGCGGCAGCAGCAGGTACCTCCTTGGGCTTCTCTTCGGGAGCATCGGCTTCCTCGGCCTTGGGCGCCGGCTTTGCGGCCTTCTTGGCTGCTGGCGCCTTCTTCTTTGCAGCGGCGGGGGCGGGGGCGGGCTCAGGCGCCTTGCGCTTGCGAAGCTCGACAGGCATGATGTCTGTGGGTGGGGAGCGGGTGTGGATGCTGAGGTCTAGCAACAAGTGAGTTGGATGTTTTGATACTGGACCACGAGTGTGCAAATCCTTCACGTTTCTTGCTGAATAACTGAGCGTCAAGTACGAGGCCACCGTGAGTGTCAGGATGGACAATGCAAATGGACAGCAAAGTTTGGAAGTGAGGTCTGGCCAGGAGAATGTCGAGCTCAACAGTAGACGTCGTCCTGGCGACAGACCAATCAGTGGTAGCGCTTCCCCCCTCCCAGGGAGCTCTCCAGGCCCTTTTGAGACCACCTACAGTAGCATGCGCATTGCGGGCTGCGATCACGCACTTCTTAACCCCGGACAAGCTTTCGTGTCGGTGGCCTGTGCTCGCCCTCCTCATAGATGTTCAACTATCAGCAAAGGTATATAGGTAATTTTGGTGATGTGTTGTTGCACTATGCATGTATCGAGTCTCGCTTGGAAGAGCTGGCAAATCCAGATCGCCGTACACATGTAAACGCCCGCCGTACCCTCCTCCATATTCGGCACGCATTATTGTCGATAGATCAGTCCACTTCGTAGACGACATTATTCTGCTGCCACAATGAGAACGAAATGGCCCCGAGAGGCAATTTGAACCCTAGAGTATGTCCAAGTCGTATGAATATTGACTTTGATAAGAAACTAACAACTCGCAAAGACGGTGGTCGCACCTCTGGCAGCCTTCACGATGGCCTGTCTCCTCTTCACGTACACGCGGTCGTCCATCCGTACCGCTAGGGAGCAAGCTGTGAGTTTGATCGGCACATGGGCTCGAGATATAAGGCTCATTCAACTAATTCATGTAGCATGCGACTCGGAGAAAAGGAAGTCAGGTGCCTCCACAGGAACCTCGCAGCTGATATGCTGGGCGTTGCACAGGGTGGACAAGCTCTTACCAAGCCTGCACTGCAGCAGCCTATTCAAAACACCACTGTCAAGTAGAGGTCACAGTGCCTCCTTGGTTGTTGGTATCCATTTCCGCGATGCGCCGATCGAGAGATGGATGGTCTGCGAGGTTATCCAAGTGTAAATTGTGAAGGGGCACATGTAGCAAGCGGTAATTTGAATTGGATCGGATTTGTCTATACCTACAACCAAAGATAGGGGTATATGTGGAAACCTCCATTCCGTGTTCCGATCTTCTCCCCACAATGAAGCCCTAAATACACAGCGAGAGCGATGATACTCCATGTGAACTCGGAACGCCCGGTCAAGAATGCACCTCCCTCCACACCACTCGTGGTTCACTCCGCGCCATACACTTCCCAGCCACCATTACAGGCTTGCGTCGAGGGGCACATCCTCGTGCCCCAGCTTCCTCCGCCCTTCCGCCTTGATGTGATTAAACTGTTCCATAAAGAACTCATATGTCAACATCGTGACCGTTGCTGCCGGCACCGCGCGCATCATGTTGGTCCCCATGCCAGCATAAAAAGCCCTCCAGCCCTCCTCGGCCAGGATTGTGCGGAAGGTCATAACGACACCACGGTACTTTGGCGCAGGGGGCTGCACTTGTTTCTGATGCGCAGCCACCTCCTCCGGCGTGGCCGAGCTGGAGATTTTGATGCCGAGGCCTTGAAGATATTCTGCTCCCGCGACTGGTCGCCGCTGTGTCTGCAGTCGCGTTCGGACAACTTCGTGGGGATAGGTGGCGCTGCTTGCTAGGATCTTGGAGAGAATTGAAGCCGAGAGGACACCGATCCAGTGCGACGAGGGACTCTCTCCATTCAGGGGGGCACCCATCCCTTGTCCCGTGAACTGAGTTTTCAGGAACTCATAAGCGGGAAACTGGACTGCGACGTGGGTGAGACCAAGCAAGGCGGGGGTGAGGCCCGAGTAGAAGGAAAGAATGCCTTCTGATGTGTACATCTTGCGAGCGGCGTCGAGTGTGGAGTTGTAATGCCACGGCGTAGAGAGCGTCGGCCTTGACGTCGGCGTGTTCCCCGACTTTGGGAACTGCGTATAGTGCTGGCCTGTACGGTGCGCAACACTTTGCGACATCAGCCGCGTCTTGATCACCCATATTGGGTTCGTCACAATCGTGCTGCTAGCCCCAGCTATGATAGAAGACCAAAAACTGATTACAAACGGGTTTTCTACAACACGATTGCGTCAGCGAAGCTCCGTCTCTCAGCATAATATGGTATGAAGGCAAACCAATCCAAGGTGTAACCTACCATGACGGTGCCTCAGCCAGTCTTTGCTTTTGTTGTAGACGGTGAACCAAACTGCCCATGTCGGCAGATACCCAAGCACGATAGGACCCAGCCCCCTGTACATGCCCCTGATACCCTCGTCGCGCCAGATGACTCGGGCGGTTCCGGTAAGCCCGTCGTAGAGCTTGGGGTGTCCTACATGTCTGCCCTTAGAGACTGGATTGAAACCACCTTGCGCTTGGAGCTTGGTCTTGATGACGTCGAGCGGGCATGTGACGACGCCCGAGGTGAAACCACCAATGGCACCGGCCAGAGCGTTGAATTGAGAAGGAGAAGCGTTGACAGCCCATTTTTCGAGCGGAGAAAGGGCCACGCCCGAGGAGGTCATGCCGGCGGATGGCTCCTCCGAGCCGCCGTCCTCGTCTCGCTGTGACGTGGGTACCGGAATAGACCGGACGCTGCTGTAGTGAGGGTAGGTAGAGGTGGGATATGGACCATATTCGTCGTCTTCCGAAGGTTGAGATGTTCCTCGTGGAGGGTTTTGGTTGTTCTCGGGAGACATTACAGAACTCCTCGTTTTTGGCTTTGCTTCGGCAGCTTTTGTGGTTCGATGATGGAAGGGCGAGCGAGCCGAGGGGATCACGATCCTCGTTCGAACGGCGGCTAGGATATGGTACCGACCCGAAGTGTTATTATCTGTGTCGGCGTCTTTGGCGATTTGTACTCGTTCTTAGTGTCGCGGTATGCGGGGAATGGCTCCCACGCTGCCGTGACACTACCCGACCTTCAGGTTTCGCAGGCCATCTACCTCTTTGGGAAAAAAATCGGGATTCTAGTTGGGAGCAGCGATTTTTTGTTGCCAGCACGGTGAGGGTTGGCAGTGCACCAAGGTGGCGGAGGGGTAGAGGGTCGTCGTATCGGTGGTGGAGGCAGGTGGTGGGAGGAGGAAGTGGGTGAGAATTGAGCGCCGGAATGTCGCGGTGCAGGCACTCGGTACAGCACAGGTCGTCTGTGGTGGATTGGACTGGACGGGACAGAACAGTGGAGGCTAGACCACTGACCGGCACAGGCAAGCACTGAGCGATAGTGGAGTTGATGGGCCGTTCGCGCCGGCTGAGGACGATAATGCGGCGACCCGAATGAGTGGGACCACGAGCACCAGAGGCAGAAAATGCGATCAAGCGAGGTTTGGCTGACAGAGGCTGTCGTTTTGTGCTCCTTTCCCCCCGACAGTTGAATTGTCGGTGAGATGGAAGCGCGGGGGCCCTCAGAGATGCCTCGGGAGTTGTGAGTTGGGAGCTGGTTACGGTAAGCATATGCCGTGTCACAGGCTCGATGCTTTGCTCCCTCCGCTCCGGTTCTTTGGCGGGCGACACGCGTGAGGGTGTGATGTACAGTCGTACAAATGACGCAATTGGCCAACGCCGATGGCCTATCGTGCCTAGGTAAGACCCGCCACCCCCCAACCGCCCACCAGAATACACTAAAAACAGCGATTTACAGGGGTCTATATCTCCACTAATAGTAAAGCTAGATATCTAGAATCCTAGTATAATAATATTTAGGCTATAAATATAGTATAGTTAAATTCTTATCTTATCTTAAAGCCTATAGCTCTTATTATAAGCTATTTAAGTAGCTTAATAATAGATTATATAGTAACTAGTTTTAATAATATAAATATATTAAGCTATATATTAAATAAGTTTAGGGTTATAATAAATTATAATAAAACTCTAAGAATCTAGTTCTATATTCTTAGCTTATAATACTTAGTCCTTAATAAGCTACTAAAGTAATTAGATTCCTCTATAGTAAGTTTTAATAGAGAATCTTAGAAACTCTATATTATAGGGGCTATAAGTTATCTTATAGCTTTATTCCTTTAAAATAAGCTTACTTCTAGAGATATAATAATTATAAAATATTAAAAGTCTCTTTATATTATTTCTTAGGCTTAGTATAAATTTTATTAGGGTTATTAGGAAAATGCTAGTTAAAATAAAAACTAGATTTCCGAAAATTATATCTTCTTCTAAAGTTATAGTATCCTCTTAAAACTCTAATAGTAATATATTAATAGCTTAATCTATACTATATAGAAAATCTAGATATCTAGCTTTACTATTAGTGGAGATATAGACCCCTGCAAATCGCTGTTTTTGGTGTATTCTGGTGGGCGGTTGGGGGGTGGCGGGTCTTATCCAGCAGACGACGAGGGCAGCTCGTGCCAGTCTCAACACGCCTCATCAGGTCAGTCCCGGCTGTTCACGGAACAAATGGCACGCGCCCCCTGCTGGCCAGAGACATTCTCTGCATAACCTCTAGTAAGATAACCTCGAAGGTTGCATACCCTCCCCAATGGGCCCGCACCACAATATCCCGACACCCTCTGTACTTTTCTTACGCCACATCGGCCATTGAGCTTGATCACGTGACCTGGTACTCTCTTCCGGGTAGCTCCGTCAACTTTTGCTCGCAATTGGACCTGATCTGATTCGACGTGAGGTCCAGCAGAAACGAATTCCCGCGGCCATCCTCAGGTTTGACTTCAATCACCCGCAACCACCCTCTCCGCCCCCACATCACCACCACCGATCACAATGGCCGATCTGTTCGTCAAGCGCGTGGCCGAGGGCATTCAGAGGTCGCCTTCCCTCCTCAGCTTCCTGCGCCCCCTCGCCAACTGGTACTCCAACACGTCTGGCTACCGCCAGGTGGGCCTGAGGTAAGGCCGTCATCCATTTCCTCCCGACCGAGACTTTTCGACACCACTCGACTCAAACCACCGATACGACACTTCAATCGAACGTAGCGTATAGAGGACGAGCAATTGAGCCAAGGAGGACGGACGGACATTCGACAGAGCAGACGGCTGACTGAAGTGCTCGCATAGGTACGATGATCTTTTCGAGGAGGAGCGCGAGGAGGTCGGCAAGGCTCTGAAGCGCCTTTCGCCCAAGGAGAGCTACGACCGCATCTACCGCATCCGCCGCGCTGTTCAGTGCAGCTACCAGCACAAGCTCCTGCCCAAGTCCGAATGGACCAAGCCCGAGGAGGTGAGCGCCCTTCCCTTACCCCCCAAAGGTGGCGATTTCGTTGCGGAAACTCGAAAACGGCTCGGCAAGCCCAATTCGTTGCGCCAAATACTGGGTGAAATGCAAGACGACAGCTGGCTGACAACCCATGGCCAGGATGTCCCTTACCTCCGCCCCTTGATTGAGCAGGTGCAGGTTGAGATGGCCGAGCAGAAGGCTCTGGACTCGCTTGAGGTCGTCAAGAAGCACTAAACAACCCGCAACTTGGTCTGCCTTTGTAAAGTAGGAGGAAACAAGAACGAGAGAGGAGAAAGCGCTTACGACAGCGTCGTTGGTTTCGCGATGCAGCATGATAGAGAGAGTGAGCCTGGCTGGAGGGTTGTGTAAGCTACCTATATATAGACTCTGGGATTGTCTCAATCGGAACTCCCTCTCTCCCCTGTGCCGCAGCTACCGTGTCGGTGCTGAATGCCCTGCGCCCTGCTACGCTTCTTTGATCATCCGCGACCATCCGCATTTTGTTCACAAGAAGACCAACCTCGTCGTGGAAATGGCAGACCCCTCTGGCATCAACAACATGTTAGTGACCGTGCACGTCGTCACGAGATCGATCAAATGCCGTCTTCGTCAAGTCATTACTTTACACAACAGATTCCTTCATATATACAAATATTAACAGGGGTAAAGCCTTCGCACCTTGTGGTGTCAATGGTATTGAACCGCCTCGCATACATCGCCAACGCCCCCTACGCATTACCCGGCTTTTCATCCGTATCAATGTGCCACACAACGTAGTTGGGCAAGCCAACAACTCTGTAGCCGGCTCTCTTTGCCATCTTGGCAAATCCTTCCGTTTCGGCTTGGTTCTCAAAAGCGTAACAAGGGAAATTGATGCCTATGGGGATTAGCTTTTCGCTTGTGAAATGACAAGGGAGGGGGGGAGAGAGGGGGACAAGACGCACCTGACCGGTGTACGTCAGCCTTAACAATAATGTTGACGCCGCCGATACCGTCAAGATCGATTTCCTCGTCCTTGTTCTTGGTGCGATCGCCCATCCTGGCCATGTACGTACGGCCAGTCTTGTATTGGCTGTAACCTATTTCGCGCAAGTCAGAAGGCGGATTGGCCGCAGGAGGCATCACTGAGTAAGTACCTTCGGCAAGAACGACGTCTTTGCTGAGCTTATTCGCCAGCATGCGGCCTTTGTTGGATTCAATCCAAGAGTTATAGTCGAAGCGACCCTCGATATCCACCCCGTCCTCAATGCGATGGAACCAAACATCTGCAAGCCTGGTCAGACCGACACTCAGCAACAAACACATACATAAGATATGGAACCTACTTGGCACTATGATATCGACGTCGTGGGCGATGAAGTCCTCGATGATAGCTGCGGGGTTCTCTACAATGTCGACGTCCCTCCAGTACACCCAGGAGTGATCTGGCTTCATCGCCACGGATAGGAGATAGTTCCTCGCCCGCCCCAGTGCCTTACGCCGAGGCCCCTGGGCTTCGAAAGAATGCCTCTCCTCCACGTTCTGGCTGAGGTGGAATTTGAAGTCCTTCTCCACGACAGTGATGCTGCGAAAGGGCACAGAGTCGGTCCGTTTTTGCAACCTGTCGGCTTCGGCAGCCAACACTGCAAGGGTATCGTCGCTGGAATCGCCAACCAGGAAGGCAAGGTCGATCAGTTGATGGGGGTACGTCAGTCGGCCGATAAGCTCGAAGTACTTGGACAGATAGGGGGCGGCGTCCTTGAGAGGCGTCAGGATTAAGACCTTTTCCTTATTCGCGACAGCCTTGCGTGTGGACCTGACGGGGTTCATGTCGACATTCTTAATCGTCGGGGAGTCGACTTCGATGGGTTTATGAGGGTTGAACAGAACGGGTGTCTGCAGGTGTCGACCCCAGGCCGCCCGCTCGTTGCTCGTCATGTCCATGGGCGCCTTTGGCGGACCCCAGCAGTAGAATCTATAATCGAGTTCCCGTCAGTAGACGCCATACACCACGGCTTAGGCGGGCTTCGGAGCAGGAGACAGACCTGTCATGAGGGCGTCTGGAGACGCCGCGCCAAAGTAGCAAAACGAACCCAGCTAGGACAATGTATGCAAGAGCCCGATGTCTTTTCAGGTACAACAGTATTGTTCTTGAAGTTGGTATTTTCCCGTGCGTTGACTTCCAGCCATGGCTATTGTTGTTGTAATTGTTGGGGAGGATCATGGCGGACGAAGATGCAGTGCTCGGGCTGCTGTTCTCCACGGTGTCGCTTGATGGATGTGTCGAGGTTCGGAGAGGTTGGCGCCGGCGGGAAGTGGGCACGAATACGGAGGCTATGGCGCAGTGATACAATGCAATCGCAGAAAAAGCCACTATGAGGCGAGCTATCAAAGCTGTAGAAATTGTCTGCTCAAGTCATCGGGAGAGGCGGGGTCGAGTTGCTTCGAGGCGCTCGCAGATCTTGGGTACTCGGAACAGATGATCAGGGGAAATACTCAATCGAGCAGTCGAATAAGCTTTGCAAGATCTCAAAGCTAGGCAGTTCGTGGATCGGATCTGATTTCGGTTCGTCGCACTGGCTAGAATGCACAGCTCACCGACCTCGTGATAGTTGTGTTTGGGATGCCAATCGAAAATAATTCCCATCGCTGACGCGAGTGTCTATCGCGATCAGTAGATGCGCTGAAGTCTCGAGCGAGCTAGCTCCACTACAAAGGGACACAGGGGTCCGCTAAAATAGCACTCATTTTAGCGCCTCGATGTACCCTCCCATCGACATTTGGATCCTTGCGTCACGGAAGTAAGTTTAAAAAAATGATGCACGAAATGAATCTGGCAAGTGTGAACCATTCTCGATACCATTCTCGATACCCAAAGCTGAGGGGCAATGGTCAATTCCTCGATCTGTTGTACAGATCTTTGGCCGGAAGTCCCGACGGCCTATCTGTAAATAAGTGCAATCAGGGGGAGATACATAAGCCGTAGGTACCATGCCGTGGCTGTGTAGGTCATTCAGTAAGTACATGGGTTAGACCCTCGATTCCGTACCTAGGTACCTCGGTGGGGACCGTCTGCTGGGTGCTTGCCACATGGCTGATGGTGACAAAGGAAGGGCGCAGCGACGTCACAGCTGTCACGATTGTAAGTCGTGAATCTGAAGATCGAGGAACAATGCTGAGGGAAACAACAGCAACGACGTCACAAAGGTCAATTGGTCTCGAACAAGTTGCATTTTATTCGCAGTCCAAGATCCCAAGTCCCTAACTGTGAGATAGCGTTTGCTGCGCTCTTGCAGTATTGCCCGTTCAAGGGATCAGATCTACATTCAACTCGTTTCCAGCACGCACATCTCCTCCTTCGCTACAAAATCATAGCCAACAGACCGAGGTCACCCAGCTGTTGAGATCTGGGGGCGCCTCGGAGCCGTGAAGTTCATCCTGCGGGCCACTATTAAGCCACGCCACGTGCACCAGGTGGCACAGCTTGCCTCTAGCACTCTGGCAAACATGTCGACTCGCCGTTCGGCTCGCCTCAGCGCCCAAACGGCCACTAAGACCGAGGTCTTCAACCCAGTCGCGACGCCGAACGACCGCAAGCGAAAGACCGCACCAGACATCATACTCGACGAGGTACCGTCGCAGGCGCCTGCTGTGCCGGCGACGCCTCCAGGGAAGCGCACGCAACGAGCCGCCGCGGCGCCCCCAGTCACGCCTACGCCCAGTGCCGTCTCCCTCATCGCGGAACGTATCAACGGCACGGCCGAGAAGCCGCGCACCGCAGCTGCACCGCGCCTTGCCGACCCAAAACGAACGAATGCTCCGCTGCTGTCGCCCGAATCTTCGCGGCTGGTCGCAACAGCCTTGGCGGTCCAGCCGAGCTCTGCGTCGCCGTCCAAAGCCGCTCGACTTGCACCGACATCCTCCCTCGTCTCTGAAGTGAATTCTCAGCCAACTACGACGGAGAATATCCTTGCCGAGGCTTGCGCCCATCTGATACGTGTTGACCCGCGCATGAAGGCTCTCATCGACAAGCACCCTTGCAAGGTCTTCTCTCCCGAGGGACTAGCTGAGAAGATCGATCCCTTCGAAAGCCTCTGCAGCGGCATCATATCTCAGCAGGTCTCGGGCGCAGCTGCAAAATCCATAAAGGCCAAGTTTGTAGCTCTCTTTACCGCATCCGATCTGGTGGACGGCAGGTTCCCTCACCCTTCCCAGGTGGCAGCCCAGAGCGTCGAGCACCTGCGTACGGCGGGCTTGTCACAACGCAAAGCTGAATACGTCAAGGGCATTGCGGAAAAGTTTGCGAGCGGCGAACTCAGCGCAGAAATGCTGGCAGGGGCTCCATATGCTGAGGTGTTGGAAAAACTTATTGCTATCCGCGGCTTAGGGCAGTGGTCGGTCGAGATGTTCGCATGCTTTGCGCTTAAGAGGATGGATGTCTTTTCATTGGGAGACTTGGGGGTACAGAGGGGCATGGCGGCTTTCGAGGGCCGCGACGTTGCAAAGCTCAAGGCCAAGGGCGGCGGCAAATGGAAGTACATGTCGGAGAAGGACATGATTGACATGTCGGACAAATTTGCGCCCTATCGCAGCGTCTTCATGTGGTACATGTGGCGAGTCGAGGAGACTGATATAAGCACCCTAGAGTAAGGGCATTCACTGCTTTGTATCCAGCTACTCGTTCGTCTGGCCTAGTGCTCTAAAACTGTAGTGTGAGACGGATGGTCTCGATGTCAGCCTGGATCTTGAGGTGAGAGAAAAGTTCAGCAGGATTGCGTTGTCGGTAGCCCATGACCTCCATCGTGAGACCAAATCCAGCAAAATTACTATGAGGGCCAAGCGATACATACAAAGGTGTTGATAATGGTAGCATGACTAAACACCGTATGAAACGTCGGTACACGCAGATGGAGGACTACATCCAGGCTCGTGCGGCCTCGGACGGATAATCATGACGTCTTGAAACCTATACTTTGACAGCGCCGACGGTCGATCAGCTCAGGATGCTTCTTCTGAAATCGCTATGCCCCCGCGTAGTGAATCTTCCGAGGGGTTGAGTTGTCGTTGGGTTGAACCGGATTGGGCTGTTGTTCAATACATAGTCAAACGGTCTTCCCGCATAACAAACATAGCCTTTGGTCATGGGACGGCCCGGTATCGTGGGGTGGAGCAAGCAAGGAATGAAGTGCAACAGGCGCATAAGACTGCCATCCCACATGTACGTGTCGCTTTAGCCCCCCTCCCAAGGTTTGCCAGTGATGGGACATCGTCCACTCGAGTACTCGGTAGGGGACAAAACTGGTGATGCAAGGCAACTTGCAGGCTGGAGGCTTGGAGACGAAGCCTCGGCATCAGGAGGAAGCAGTGCTGTCAATAATAGCCTGTAGCCGTGCCCGTGCACAGGACTTGCCCCCAGTGGTCTTGGAAAGTGTACTGTAGTCCGGCCGGAACAGTCTACGTATAGAACAGGCTCCTGGTTTGATCAAATCGGCCTACGCATTGCAGCTGGAAATCCTTGGATGGAGCAGGGAACAGGTGGGTAAAATTGGGAGATGCATGTTTGGCCACACCCTGGGGTGGACCATTTCTCCTAGCTGGACATGGTACGCATCGCGGCTCTACGGATGTTTTCCTCCCAGTGTTTGGCAAGTGTGCTGCTTGGCATGGAGACACCAAGATTAGTTTCGCGTGTGTGCGGTCCATCCCTAGAAAATACTGCTGTGGCAAGCTTTCGTGACCTGGGGAGGCCCAAAAAGGCCCAATTAAATGAAGCTGATGGGATGCCGAGGGCCCTCGCTCGTATCGTCAGGCCTGGTTTGGCAATGCACGCCCTACAACATAGGACCTAGGAGCTAGAGGGAGCGGAAGGACCGAAAGTCGGCTCAATGCTGCGATGTTTTCGATGGGCCCGTTATCCCGTTGCCTGGTCGCCAGCCGTGCCAACAGGCTATCACCACTGATGTCCTCGGTCGTACTGCGTCATCACTAGAGGTAGACTCGGATCGACAGAGCACCCGAAAGCCTCCTGGATCGTCTGGACTTGCAATACGGTGAAACACGCCCTCACTGGCTAGCAAGATATGGCGACGAGAAGATGAGAACGGGTGGGCCGACAGTGTGATGTGTGATGCCCTGGTGGGAGAGGAGGGAGGGAGGTGTGGGTGCGCGCGGACGTGTGTTGTGGACGCGTCCCAGCTCAAAGCTCGTCGATTTCAATGGAGCACGATGAGTGGGCTGCTGAATCGAGCGGACTGACTTTGGATACAGCCACACCCGGCAGTGTCGACAGGCATTGTCCGCAGGCCGCTGGTGTTGACATTGATCATCTGGAAAGCAAGATGGGCAAATCTCGCCAAAGCGCGATTGCAGAAATTGGGCCACAGTCCATGGCCCTTGCCCACCGACCGGACCGGACGCCTGACAGGATCTCCGATGCTGTCGATTTCCGCCGCTGCATGCTCGCTGTCAGCGACAGTCTCTCTCATCTACCTGATGGAGGGGAGGGGGATCAAACATCTGTTGGAACACGAACACGGCAGAAGTTGACTCGTCTGAGGAATGGGGCAAAGGGATCCAATCTGTAAGATGGCAGGAACAGTGTTGCGTCCAGGTCACCACTTATTACTCACATTCTCCTGCCCTGTGCTTTGTGCTGTGTGGTCGGTGCCGTATCGTGTACTATGTATCCAATACGAGGGAGGCAAGGCTCGCGGAACGTGGAAACCGATTGTCTGGCATCTGGGTACGGGTGCGGCAACGGTTGTGGCAGGGGAAAAAAGCAGATGCTCATGCACTGGAGGGACAAGCTTGACGAGTTATTGCGTTCCATCTCCTGCTCGTACCGCACCGGAGGCGGAGGGGCCTGCCTGTGGTGCCTTGCCTTGCCTTGTGTTGCATCTGTAATAATAAAGGGAGGCAAGCACCGAACCATGAACTTGCCCCGTCCCCTTCGCCATCATGACCAACGTAGGAGGGCGCGAATGGACCCGAAATGATCAATGAGCAAGTGTGTCCACCAGGCAAGGTCGAACAGGACTGTGACTGCAACAAACCAGGGCGACACTATGATGACCCCCTGCACATGCTTCCTCCAACAACCCCACTCCCCCCCCTTACCCACCTGGGACACGCATCCCTGATCGTCTTGATTATGAGCAGCAAATCAACATTCCTATCGGTGCTCCACCCCCCCTGCTTCCCCTGCCCGACCTGGTCGAAGGCGCGAGAGCAGCAGCGAGGCATCGTGCACGGCAACAAGCCACATCCACGCCAGCAGTTCGCCCCTAGCTTCTGGGGATTTGGCTTTTCTCTTCTCCGTCCGCACATTGACTTGCTACTGTTTCTCCCACTCGCTCCTCCTCCCTTTGCGACCAGCTTCACTCATCACCAGGCCAATTTCTTCATTGCGCTTGCTTTGGTTTTCGTACACTCGTTAATAACAGGATCAGATCTAGCCTTAGCTCTCCTCCTGCTCTGCCCCCCTTTTTATCTGTCTTTCGAACGAAGACGACGTTCTATCTATATCAAAAGGTACGTAAGGCGTGAAAGAAATGCACCAATGTCCCATCGCCGTCAAAGATGGCTCGTCGCCACCTTCACGACGCCCATTGAGAAATTCCTGCCCGTCGCCGCTGGTCTGAACGACCAAACCCACCCCACGCCATGTTCGTTGGCACGTACATGCCGTTGCCCCTGGATTCCGAACGCCCCGTCCGCGGCCTCTCCCTCGTCCGGTCCCCACGACCCAATTCCCTCAACGCCCGCCCTTGGATCGAGAGGGTTGGAGCCTCCTGCTTGTCCGACAGAAAGGCTCTTACCCTCAGCGGCGTCGGCACCAAATACAAACAGAAAAATACACAGGAAGGGGCGACGAGCACGACCCGCACGACCAGCTGTACTTCGCCTACAGCGTGTCTCTCGGGGCTTCACCTATTTCATCTACCCATCTGCACATCTCATCACCTGCCATCAAGCACCAATCCAAACAGGAAACAACCCCAGCGTGGTTTTGGAACAGAGATCGATAGCCTTTACCACCCGTCTTGGTTTCTTGGCCCGCTGTCCAGTCCACTGCCTGGTTCCCTCCTCCAACCAGCATCCTCAAACTCTGATTATTCTTGACAACATCCAGCTCCCAAGCTGTTATTACCCGTTGCGAACTTCGCACTGACTCTATTCGACATTCAGATTACTCGCCAAAAACCGGTAGCAATGTACACCACCATGAAGCTCGTCCCTGCCATCCTGGCTGTCGGTGCCTCGGTCGCCTCGGGTAAGTCTGACCACACCTCCAGCCGTTTCGCGTGGCCTTGGCCTCTGGCACTAACTCGCTGCTCCAGCCCAGTCCAGCATCTGCTCGACTGCGACCTACACGATCAACAGCGCTGCCGAGGCCACGGCCATCCCCTGCAGGACCATGGAGTCGATTGAGATCTCCTCCGACCTTACCGGTGCCGTGACCATTGACGGTCCTACCCGCCTCAGGGGCAACCTCGTTGTCAACAACGCCACCCAGCTCGTCAGCTTGGCCAGTTCTTCGCTCACCACGATTGACGGCCGCTTCGAGCTGGTTGGACTTGAGCTGCTGAATGACGTCCGATTCACTGCCCTGACGGCTGTTGAAACCATTGAGTGGGTTACGCTCCCAGCTCTTGGCACTGTCGTCTTCGGTACCGCCGGTGTCACCAGCGCCAGCAGTGTCCGTATCTCCAACACGGATCTCCGCTCGCTCGACGGACTCAACCTCGCTTCCGTTGACGAGATGTACATCAACAACAACGACCGTCTGCTGTCTTACAGCACTCAGCTCGCCAACGTTTCCAAGAAGCTCGAGATTGACTCCAACGGCCCCGCCCTCAATGTCACTCTTGCCAACCTTATCTGGGCTCAGGAGCTCATCATCAACAACGCCGCCAGCGTCCTGGTTCCTTCCCTTGAGGTCATCAACGGCTCCATGCGTTTTGACCAGAACAGCTTCACCACTTTCACTGCCCCCAACCTGACCGAGTTCAAGGAGGGTGATATTTCCTTCATCAACAACCCCGAGCTTACCAACATCTCCTTCCCCGTGCTCGAGACCCTCGGTGGATCCCTCACCATTGTCAACAACTCCGGCCTCGCCCGTATTGACGGCTTCCCTGAGCTTAAGACGATTGGTGGCGCTGTCCTTCTCGGCGGTGACTTCGAGTCGTAAGTTTGCAGCCGCAGATACGAATTGATTTGTATGCTAACCATGATCGTAGCGTCGAGCTTCCCTCTCTTGACGACGCCCGTGGTGCTTTCGACGTTCGCAGCACGCAGAGCATTGACGAGTCTTGCAAGTTCTTCGACGACATGGAGGGCCGCCAGATCCGCGGCGAGTACAACTGCAGGGGCGGCGACGAGAATGCCAACGAGGCCAACTCTACCAGCGGCGGCTCCAGCGGCAACAACGGTGGCTCCAGCAACAACAACAACAATGGCAGCGGCAGCGCCATGCTTGGTACCAACATGGCCGCCCTCGTCACCGTGGCCGTCATTGGCGGTCTCGCTCAGCTTATGCTGTAAAGACAACCATACTGAAAATATGGGCTCGGATGTTGTGGCGTTCTCCGTACATGCTTTCTTTCTTTCTGGTTTCTTTGCAATGACGCGATTCTCGAACCGGCACCCCTAGGTACGAGGAACCGATAGACTTAATACTGGATGATGGTTAGAGACGAAGACGCCCAACATTGCCGGCATCGGCCTGTGCTGTGAGCTTTCTGCTTGATGTAAACCTTCCACCTGACTACCCGGTATATGTTGCTTGCGACATGTAACAGATCGCCCTTTTATACAGCACAACAAGTGACTATCAAATATACGATGGGTATCATGCACGCAGTTTTCACCATGACTCCCGCTGATGCTCAGTCATCCTGGTTTCGTTTGACGTGGATAGGTATCATGCACATGACGTTGTCTTCTTCATCTCTTGTAAACTCAGGCGCGGCCTTACTGGACTAAGGCCACTTTGTCCAGTGCCAATCCTGGCCAAAGTACGAATAGGTATGTTATGTACACGATATCTCCACGAAGCGCCAGAGCCGCTATATGTAAACTCCGAGTTCAAATTGTTCTGAGTCATAGAACGTAGCTGCCACTGTGTTTCCATTGAACACTCGGCCATTGAGCTCGCTGACCGCCTGCAGGACTGTCAGGTATGTTCATTGGGTGCACCAGACAGAAGAAATACGGCGTGAACCTACACGTAGACCAGAGACTTGGTCGGTAAACTTGATGAAGACCTGCCGATTTTCGACATCGAAATACAGACGCTCCACGCGGCCATACTAGTGAATAATCAGCACAATTACGTCTCAGCTCCGATTCCTAGATGGCAGTAACGGAGGCGTCAGGGGGGGAGGGGCAGGCGTACCTTGTCGCCACACTCCTCGCCAATTTCTTGCCCGAGGCCGCTGGAAATCTCACCCTGCAGGTCCTGCATACCCTCGAGCATGTTCCGCAGGACTATGACGTTGCTCATGGGCCCGTAGCCAGAAGAAGAGGCGGCGCCGTCGTCGCGACGCTGGCCGCCGATGATTTTGGCCTTGTTGGCGGGGTCGCGCCAGCCGCCGCCCTCGGCGTCGCTCTTCTTCTTCCGCTTCTCGACCTGAACGCGGAGCGGGTTGATGATGCCCGACTCGTCGGCGCCGAGGCCGGAGCCCTTGGTCCAGCCGTACTTGGACATGAGGCGCTGGGCGAAGCCTGCCTGGCCTGGGCGGAGGGAGCGAGGGGCTTCGGAGTCGGGAGAGCGGTTTCCTGTATGGGAGCCTGCGCCCAGGCCGAGAGATGGTGGCGGTGAGTCGGGGACGTCGTCTTCGGACGGCTTGGGGGGTGAGTAGCGGACGGGAGCGCGGGAGATGGTTGCCGTCTCTGTTGGTTCGGAGGATGGAGGCGGAGGAGGTGGTGGTGTTGGTGGTGGAACAAAGTCTAAGGGAGGCGGCACGGGTGCTGTTTGGAGAGCTTTTCTTCGTGCATAGACGTCGTCGGCGCTCGCATCGTCGGGAAGCTGAGCCAGTGTCGGTGGAGAGGGTGGAGGTGGTGCGAAGGAGTAGTTTGATGGCGGCGCAAATTGGTCTGCGGGTCTGTCAGTAAGAGTGAAGGGGATGGATGGCTACAGTGTACGCACTCGCTGCTGGCCGGCTGTCTCTGACGTTGTCTTGGTCGCTGTCATCGCTGAAGCTCTTCTTCCTACGATGTCTGTACAGCACAGCCTTCCAGTCCTGGACCTCGCGTATGCGCTCGTCACTGCGCAGGTATTCGTCGACGTTGGTGGGCCTGGTAGGGTCGTAGATCTCGTCCCAGTCGGTTTCCAGCTGGTGGTCGAACTTCTTCTTCTTCTTCTTGCGCCCGCCACGCTGGCGCTTCTCCATGCTGTAGCGCACCTCGTCGTCTCCCGCAGCAGCCCAGTCGGCGAGGCTGGTCTTCTGATGGGATTGCGCCCCGCCCAGTGTGGTCACGGCTGTCGGTACATCTGAGGTCGCTGGCCCGGGAGGAAGCGGCACCACTTGCGACGCGGCCTTGGGGAAACTAGGTTTGGGTTTCACGGCTTTGGCCTGTGGGCGACGTATTGGTTGGAAGCGAAGAGCTGGGACATGTGAGCACGTCGACGTTGACGAACGAGAGGGCGGGAGGTGAAGGACATGGATCTTTAGGTTTCTTCGCTGCTGCGTCGTCGCCGATGGCTGTCGCGCTGCCGTCTTGGTTGTACCGAACGGGCGCGCTGGATATTGTGGCCGAGGGGTCTGAAGTTGGGTCTAGGAGGTTCGCATAGAGAGACAATCCTCCCCTTGCGGGCGGTGGCGGAGGCGGCGCGGCCATTCTGCCGTAGGTTCTTTCGAGTATGGATCAGATATTCAATCGCGTTGCACTCGAATGTTGTCGTTCTTGCGGCGTTGTATGGGTAAGTCGGGGCCAGGTATCTGGGTAGGTAGGTATGGGATAGATAGAAGCGCGATCTGTGGTAAGTTGCTTAATGGACTATCTGGAATACCTTATTCAGAGGTACCGACTTACCCCGGCATGTCAGCCCACCGTAGGCGCCATTGGGGATCAGACGTCTTGACCCCTTGTTGCAGTTACATGAACCGATCCGGGAACAGCTAAGAGAACCCACTCGCCTGCCAGCTCCAGGCTCTATCAAGCACGCAATGACTAGGCACTACCACTATGACCCCGGCCTCTGGACTTGGGGGTTGGCTTCCCGGATAACTCTCACTTGTTCATCAGCCATCACACCAGAACGTTCCTTTTAGACATAGACCGTGATCTGCCCTTTCCACCACCATCCTGTGATCAATTCTTACACAGACATACCTCATCGCTCTCTTTGTCCTTGTCCGATTATCGGAGCCGGAATCGCCCGTCGAGTTCGCCTACACACCCGTCAAATCAAACATGGCGTTGACTCTTCAGACAGCCATCAAGGGCGCTGGCAGCTCGACCGCCATCATTATTCCTTCTAAGCCCAACCCGTTGACTGTCACATACAACGACCTCATCAAGGAGACTGCCTCGTTCCAGCAGAAGCTTGCCGCCATCGGCATCACCAAGGGGGCCCCTGTCTCCATTGCCACAGTCAACTCGTATGAGTTCATCATCTCGTTTCTTGCCGCATCCTGGCAGCGTGGAATCGCTGCTCCGTTGAACCCGGCGTACAAACAGGACGAATTCGAATTTTACATCGAGGACGTCAAGTCTGCCATTGTTCTGGTTCCCCGCGGTGCTTATCAGAGCAACGCCCCGGCTGTGAAGGCCGCCAAAAAGTTCAACGCAGCCATTGCCGAGACGTACTGGGATGCTTCGAAGAAGGAGGTTGCTCTTGATGTGAAGGAGCTGGGACAGCTCCAGGGCAAGCCCAAGGAACAGATTCTGAAGCCCGAGCCAAGCGACGTTGCCCTCGTTCTGCACACCAGGTGATTCGATGACCCGTCTCCGTATCTTCACAAGCCCAAAGCCGAAGCTGACCATCATACCAGCGGAACGACCTCCAGGCCCAAGGTAGTGCCCCTGACACACGCGAACCTGACGAGGACCATGAGTAAGTAATCTGGTTCACTTGGAATGAAACGCTGCTGATGAGAATGAAGGCAACATCCAGAAGACATATGAGCTCACTGATAAGGACCGCACCATGCTTGTCATGCCCCTGTTCCATGTTCACGGTCTTCTCTGCGGCCTCTTGGCCCCTTTCCTTTCCGGCGGATCCATGATCGTGCCGACCAAGTTCTCTGCCGGCGAGTTCTGGCAGGACTTTGCTGCTCACAAGGCCAATTGGTACACAGCGGTTCCCACCATCCACCAGATCCTCCTGAAGAACCCAACGCCTAACCCGCTCCCCGCGATCCGCTTCATCCGGTCCTGCTCTTCGCCTCTTTCCCCTACAGTGTTCCACAACCTTGAGAAGACGTACAAGGCCCCTGTCCTCGAGGCGTACGCCATGACAGAGGCTGCCCACCAGATGACCTCCAACCCGCTGCCCCCGGCCAAGCGCAAGCCGGGCACCGTCGGCCTCGGCCAGGGCGTCGAGATCAAGATTCTCGACGACCAGGGCAACGAGCTCGCCCAGGGCGCCGAGGGCGAGATCTCCATCAAGGGCGAGAACGTCACGCACGGCTACCTCAACAACGCCGCCGCCAACGCCTCTTCCTTCACATCGTCCGGTTTCTTCCGCACAGGTGACCAGGGCAAGCTAGACGAGGACGGCTACGTCATCATCACTGGCCGCATCAAGGAGCTCATCAACAAGGGCGGCGAGAAGATCAGCCCTATCGAGCTCGACAACGTCCTCACGCGCCACCCCGCTGTTTCCGAGGCCGTCAGCTTCGCCATCCCCGACGACATGTATGGCCAGGACATTGGCGTCGCTGTCGTGCTCAAGTCGGGAGAGAAGCTCGAGCAGGATGAGCTGCGCAAGTGGATCGCTGACAAGCTGGCCAAGTTCAAGGTGCCCAAGAAGGTGAGACTCGTGTTCAGTAGGATGCGCGGACGACGCCATGTTAACGCTGTCTGTAGGTCTATTTCACCGAGACGATGCCCAAGACGGCAACTGGAAAAATTCAGCGCCGCATTGTCGCTGAGATTATGCAGAAGCAGGACGTGCCCAAGGCCAAGCTGTAAAAGGGGGGAAACGGCTGCGGGTTGTATATAGAATAGAGGTAGACTAGATGTCTCTAGAACATGCTGTCATGTGTGGTCTGATCTATACAATGCCAAGTTTGGAAATCAGTCTGTGTGGTGGAGGAGAATTGAATAGATGCTGCTGTGCTGGGCCCAGGTCACCACACTGTGGCTCCTTCTTGGGCGTTATACCAGGAAAAGTGACCCCACTACTTATTTATTGGCTTACTGGCTTTCCAAGCCTACGTACAAGCGAACGTCTTTTGGCCTTCCTGTCTTGGATCTTCGCCACGACCTCCAAAATGTAATGGTACGCTTGCCAGATGAGAGCCACGATCAAACATCTCTGTATCAAAGGCAACCCATCCCCTTGGGAAGTCACCCTTCAAAAATGGTCCCCCAGGAGCATGACATTATTGATGGGGCATGACTGGGGGAGCAGGAGATGGAGGATTGGTATTACAAGTACGGGGTTCATATTCACAGTCCTCGTTCATTTACATTGAGCAAGCCCAGCAAAGCAGAGTACAATCAGGACATATTCAAACTTGGATCAAAAGGCGCCTCACATGATAAACTCCTCCTTCAGCCAGTGCTTCAAAACAACCCTCCCCTCACTGAATGATTCCTTCTCCCAGCGTACAATAATGGCAGCATGACTGTGTCGGTCACGGTGGATCCAGACCGGGTATTTATGCCAGTTGAGACTGTCGAGAGACTCGATCATACTGAACTGATAGGGGGCCAACGCAAGGGTACGCTGCGAAGGGATGGACATGCGGCGCTCCCGGGCAAGCACCTTTGAGTCTTCCAGATTCATGTCGAGCGGCTCGTCGTCTTCTTCCGTTTCCGTTCCGAGGTAGTCTTGGTGCTGCGCGTTGTTGAGCGCTTCGTATGCGTGTTCCACCTCGGTGCGGATCTCGTTGATCCAAAGGGGGAAGCTTCGATAATCGGTGACCTTGACACCCGCCCGTCCCTCCTCGTGGAGGCGGATCCGCTTCGATGAGCGCACGGTTTGGATGCATGAATTGATGAGGAACCCAATGATACCGATCGGGACGAATATGGTGACAGCCAGCATGAAGGGAACGCTGCGAAGCCAGGAGACGGCAGTGCCAGCAACAGACGAGAAGGTTGCGGGGGTTCCCAGGTTTGGCTTGGGCGAAAAGGGGTTGTGAGGGTCCAGGACGACGTCTTCGTAGTCTTTGACATAATTGATCTGCATGGACGAGAGGTCACGGTACGGGTCGGTTTTGGAGATGCAAGTGGTGTAGAAGACGGCGCTTCTGTCGTTGACCATGTTGCTGTACAAGGTGTGTCTCTTGAACTTCTTCAGGCCCGACATGAAGATGGAGTTGGGGTCAGCCAAAACCACCAGGAGAGGCCGACCCGTGTCGCGAAACTTGTCAATGGTGAAAAGCTGGCGTCCAGACATGGAAAGAGTCCTTGCGCCGAGGACGTTCCAGACGTGGTTGTGCCATCCTTTGAGAGGCGTGCGGACACCGAGATGAGGTGAGGCAAACGTGGTGAAGTTCTGTGCGCCGGGCGTCAGTGAGAGGCACCAAGGCTCAACGTCGAACGACGGCCCTTACCATGCACTCGAGCTTGTCTAGCAAACCCTTTGCATAGAGGAGGCCGACGGCATAGCGTGCGACGAGACCACCGAGCGAGTACCCGACGATGCTAATCTTAGCGATGCTGCCTCCTCTCTTCTCGATCAAGCCAATCTCTTCCTCGATCTCGGCGCACACACGCTCGCCGCCGCGCTCGATGCCATCGTAGGTGAAGCTCCCGCTATTTCGTTTGGCGAGGAGGAGATAGAGCTTGTCAGAAGGATACTGGGACCGCAGGCTTTTCGCAATGTTGGCCATGTGATTGGGGTTTCCCCAAAGCTACAGTAGTATCAGGTGGTTAGCAGTGACCCCAGGCGCAACAATGTCCCACAGGTAAGGTAGGGACGTAGGTAGGTAGGCAGCGTGGGGTGACGTAGGTGATCTCTGAACATACCCCGTGAACCAAGACGCAGAGATGGTCAGCCTCTGCACTACCGCCGGTATAATCCATGATGCAAGAGTAATCAGATGAGATCAGGGACCGGTCGATAGAGCGCACGGAAAAGGGCAGCAACGTGTGGGAAGAGAGGTGGTGAGCTGGATGGAAGAGGGTGAGCGTCTGCAATAAGACGCAACAACCCTCCCCAACAGACCCGTGGCGAAGCTGGTCGTCCGCCGGAGCTTCGGGGGCGCTTAGAGGCCGCACCCAGGTTCTGCTGGTGGCCCTGGCGCCTCTGGTGCCCCCAACCTGCCCCAACCCGCCCTAACGCCAGGCCTGTGGGCTCCCCTCGTCCAGGCTCTCCAGGGGACGCGTTGCTCGCGGAGGCCACCTCCTAAGTCCGATGCACCTGGATCGGTGGCGCCTGATCAGATGCCAGAAAGGTACCTAAGGTTCCTAGGTAGGTAGGTAGGTAGGTAGGTAGGTAGGTAGGTACCTTAGACAGAGACAACGACCTCGTGATGAGTTTCCTAAGGCGATGGTGGAATGGTCTTGCCATGCCGTTCAAAATAGGTAGCTTGGAGAAGCAGCAGCAACGAGATGGCAGTTGCAAAGCACACGGACAGAGTGTGCCTTATATACAGACATGGCCGATACGCTCATGCCCCTGCGAAGACCCGGGTTCGCACTCCCCGTATCGCAATCACCATCACACAGCAGCGGGCGCGCGCTCCTGACCACGGTGCTGATAAGGAAGGCGGGATACAACGGGCCTGGGGCAGCTTTCGAGACCACACCGCCACAAGCATTCAGAGATCTTTATCAGATTGGAGATAAAGACTGTGTCTCTGCGGTGAAGGGCCTCCGCGAGGCCTGGCCATGATAGGCAAGTCCTTGCTGGCTGCCACAGCCATGGCGTGCTTTTCCTTTCCTTTGTCGTGGCGTCTAGGTACCTTACCTAGGTATACTGTACGATTCGGAGACAGAAAGAGTCATGGGCTTTTCTCATGTGGATCATGAACTGCGTAAGACAAGATAGGCGATTACGACCCAAGTAGATGTTGAAGGGATGGCCTTCTCTACAACTCTTCTGCTGCCATGTGAAGGTCAGGCTTCAAGTTAGCCAGGCACCCATCCACTCCCTGCTCTGCTGGGCCACTTACCTAATCTCGGCCAGCCGATTGACTTCATCCCATCCCTGTACTCTTTGACCCTGATCCGTCAACCACCCAACAATGCACCCTCCATTTCAGGTTGGCGACGCCACGTACAAGACACTGTTGACGTTTGAGATCTCATCCCATTATCGATGCCAGCCGGCATACCGCGCGGATGGGCTTGTGCATCTCTTGCTCTGTTTAACGGCTTGTATCCTCCATCTCATGACCAGTGGCCCTCATCATTCATCCATGCTTTCATTGGCTCCTAAACATTGTCCAACTCTCAGCTGCCTAGGTGCCGACATTGGTACCTAAGGTACCTTACCTACCCAGGTAACTTGCCTTACCCGTATCAGTAGGGTCTCCCTCAGCGAGGAAACTTGCCCATTCTGATATCTTCATTCGCACCCTTCTGTAAGTTTTCACTCCATCAAATTCCTCCCTTTTCAGGGTTTCTTTCTTTCTTTTCCATTCGAGCAATTCATCAGATTTGCCCATGAGTCTTTGCTGAGTGGGCGTCTCATCTCTGAAGCCACCTCAGTTCAAAGAACCCTTGGCTTGCAATGGGACCCTTGAATCTCACATCTACCTCACATCTACCTTGCATGAGCCTGCATTCAATACCAAAATCAAACGTCAGAGCTGACTGAACAGATGCAAAGGAACCTGCTATACTTCCTATCTGCCCTGATCAGCCGGCTTGCTGTCACGACACGACATGGCTTCTTTCCTGAACCTCAAACACCTCCCCTGCCCTGCTGGGGAGACTTGCACGGCCTTCCAATGCATGTTCGGCCATAAAAAAGACAGTCCCAGCTCCGCCCCTCCGCCACAGGTCGTGAAGCCAGGCACATCTCGACAGAGACCAGACGACGAGCCTGCATCTCTCCAGGATAGTCCCAGGAAGCGCCAGAGAACCGAGCAAGTCGTCTCGCCCCCACAAACCTTGCCAACACCTGGACAGCCTCCCAAATCTGCTCAACCCGCCTCGAAACCCATCGTCCCAGCCCGGAACACAGATGGCAGCCTGTCCACGCAAGCTCGTCCCATCTCACCGCCATCTTTAAAGAGACTAGCCACATCACGACCACCTGTTGCTCAACGCTCCTCGCTGAATCAAACCCCCAGCAACACGCCTGCCAAAAGCCGCTCCGCTTCTGCCGCCCATACACCATCAGTGACAAGCTCTTCCACCAAAAAGGTCACCGGGTCCGCTGCCACCTCGTCATCAAGAGGCGGCACAACTCACGCAGCTAATGCTTCCTCCACCTCCACATCCGCAGAAGCATCCCCGTCCACCAAGCCTAGGAAGCCAGAGACCCTCAACCCGCGCCTTCTCAAGAAGTCCCCTGCTACCTACCAAACAAGAGTTCAACTCTTGAAGATGCTTCATCAAGAGTACACTCGACTAAACAAAGAACTCAAGAAAGTCGCAAAAGGTGACGACAGCCAACTCGTCCTCTCTGACCAGCACCTTATCTGGAGAGCGCTGGACGAAGAAGAGAAGTGCGCAACGGAGAAGCCAACTATCTACAGCAACGTGGTCAAAAACCGAATCATGCAGTACAAACGAATGGCCGTCAGGGAGTGGACGGAAGAGCGTCGAAATGAGCACCAAAGCCGCAACCCAAAGTCACGACCAGACGCAAAGTCATCAGGTACCCCCAAGGTCCTCAGCACGGGACTGAAGCCTGCCCAAGAAGTCCAGATACTCCGTCGTCTTGTGACCTCTATCGCAGGTCTTGACGCCCACGGTTATGTCCCTGCCCCTCCTGCAGAAGCAGAGATCACAAAGGCACGCCAAGGACTTGAAGCTGCTCAAGGATGGGAAAAGTGTGATCGGTGCGACAAACGATTTCAAGTCTTCCCTGGGCGCCGAGACGAAGACGGTGCTCTGACCTCTGGCGGCGTATGCAAACACCACTATGGAAAGACGTACTTCCCCGAACGTCAGCCCGGCGATCGCTCCAAGCAACAGAAAAGATATCGTTGCTGTGGAACACAAGTGGGAGATTCCGTTGGCTGCACCGAGACCCCGCATCATGTCTTCAAGGTAACTGATCCGAAACGACTGGCTGCGGTCATGGACTTTGCCGAAACGCCAGAGAATCCATCAGTGCCGTCGGATAGAGCCGTCTGCTTTGATTGCGAAATGTGCTACACGGTCAACGGGCTGGAGCTCGTCCGTCTAACGGCCACTGCCTGGCCCAGCGGCGACATCATGTTGGATGTACTTGTGCAACCGCTGGGCGAAATCCTCGACCTCAACTCGCGATTCTCGGGCGTCTGGCCCGAGGATATGTCGCGAGCTCAGCCTTGGACCAGCATAGAGATACCCCCCGTCGCTATTAGCACCAACACCAAAAATTCGGACGGTCATCAAAAGGCTGCGCTGAGAATCGTTCCATCACCACACGCCGCACGCGACCTTCTCTTCTCTCTACTCGCCCCTAATACACCCCTCATCGGACATGGCTTGGAAAACGATCTAAACTCTGTCCGCATTATCCACCCGACACTCGTCGATACTGTCCTACTGAACCCTCACAAGCACGGCCTACCTTATCGACATGGCCTCAAAATGCTCATGGAAACGCTGCTGAACCGCAAAATCCAGATGGAGACAGGAGGCAAGATCCAGGGACACGACTCGGCGGAGGATGCTCGGGCTGCCGGAGAACTGGCTCTGCTTAAGGTCATGGAAGAGTGGCAGAACATGCGATTCAAAGGCTGGACTTTGGAGAAGACTACAGGCGACATGGTTCCACCGAAAGACGCTTCGAGCAGTGGCACCAACGGTGGAATTGACGACACCAAGTTGACTGTGGAGTTCCTAGAGGCTGCACATTGATTTCAGAGTCAATGCCGCCCGCGTCATCTCCCGAGGATCACTTCGGTAGTAGCGATGCTGGCCGTCCTGGCTAGCCACTTTGACATGATCGCGGTACGCGCGAGCTACTCGGTAGTTCATGCCACATCTGGGCAATAAACAACTGACGATTCGCACATCGATCCCATCCTCTCTATAATAGGAGTGACATGCGTAATGTGTCATATGACATCTTGGACCAGCGCCTTTCGTTCTTGGTAGTTGGGTTTCATGCGCTGAGCAGGAACAGCCAACAGGCTGTTAGTGGGAAGAGAGAACCCTGACTGGCTCTTCATAACCAGCACATATTGGAAAGGGGATATACGTAGAATTACACTCATTTAAGTGGCGTCCAGCCGCGGCCACCTTTTGGCCTTAATACTGTTACAAATATCATCCACCAAGCTGATTACCGGCCAACGTTCAGAAGCATCTGGCTGCCGCCAGACTTGCCACCACCGGGCAGGTACACAACGTTGGGGTTGGAAGACAGTGTGGACGCGATCTCCCTGCTCGCCTCAATCTTACGGATCTGGATGAGGCCGTCGCCAGACTTGGAAATGGCCTTGGCGATGGCGTCGGCACTCTCGGCCTCGCCCTCGGCACGGATGACGTTGGCCTGGCGCTCCTGCTCGGCCTTCTCGACGATGAAGCGCGCACGCTCGGCATCCTGCTGGGCAATCTGCTTCTGCTCGACGGCCTTGGTGAACTCCTTGCCGAAGGTCATGTGGGTGATGGACACGTCTTCGAGAGCAATGTTGAACTCGGCGGCGCGGCGGGTGAGGTCGGAGCGGATGCGCTGAGAGACGGCCTCACGCTGGGTGATGAGCTCGGCGGCGTCAAACTGGGCGACGATGGACTTGAGGACTTCGTTGCCGATGGAGGGGAGGACGCGCTCATCATAATCGGCGCCGAGATTCTGGAGAAACGCAAACAGGCGATTAGAACTATAATTTTTCTGGAAGAACGAGCCGGGACTAAAAGGGCACATACTTGGTAGATCTTGGGCAACGCCTTGACTTCTGGCCTGTGCAGCACCCTCAACGTCAGGCTGACCATCTGCAAGTCCTTGCTGCCCGTCATGGTGGCGATGCTCCTGGGCTTGGTGCGCACGTCGAAAACGATGCTCTTCTGCAGCCAGGGGATGAGGAAGTGGGTGCCCTCGTTGATGACCTCATCCTTCACACCCTGCACTCTGTCGAAGATGACTGCCCTGGAACCGCCACGGACATCGTAGATGGCGGTTGAGAGGAGACTGGCACCGAAGAAGGCCGGCACTGCCGCCTTGGAGATGAAGTTGAGAGCGGCGGCCATTGTGGAAGAGACTGCGGCACCGGCGCGATGGGCAGAGCGAGACTGTAGTCGGCGGGGTCGGTGCGATTACGACAGAAGAAGGAGCTGGTGATCCGTTGTCAGAAGGTTGGAAGCTGCACTGCTCAAAAGCTCCAGTTGCACGCACGTTCGAACCTGAGGTGGAGCTTACGAAGGTGCTTCTGCGCCGACCCGTCATGGAAATTCTCGCCCGGAGGTGACACAAACCGGGGCTATTGTAGCAAAGGGGGCGCTAAACCATTTCGGGTGCACTTCGGCAAGAACCTCGACAGGATTTCGAACCTCACCCGAATGATCCTCTTCGACCCTCCAAGCACCTTCAATCCCCGACACAGACCTCGTGCGTCACTCCCCCGATTCGACAACATGAGACCTTCCCAGATCCTGCTCGGCGGCGGCGGCGTCCCCAAGGGCAAATTCAACCAGTAAGACGATTTGCGCTGGGCGCAATTGGCCCGGGCGCGGTGCGGCTTTTCGTCCAGGGCGAACAGTCGTGACCGACGATTGCCCGGGTCTTTTGTTTGCCAATTGTTCTCTCGAGTTCCAATGCTAACTGACCTCGCAGCTACCTCGGTGACTGGGGCAACATTGGTTAGTACCGCCTTTCTTTCCCCGACGCAACGACACAACGACACAACGTCATACGATGGACAATGGATTCGAAGCTCGTCAGAAACACACGGGACAGCGGACTTCGATGGCGACGGAGAGAGCTTGCCGCCCAGGTCCACACGCAACGAGCCAGGGGTTGAGTGGAAATACTTGAGATGAACACCTTTCTAACAAACAAACAAACAGGTGGCGAGAAGCAGCGTGGCATCATCACATTCGGTGTCTCTGCCAACCGCCAGAATCCCTTTGCCGGCGCCGGCCACGATGCCGTGTTCAACACCTTCCGCCGCTTCCGCGGCTCCGTCCTCTACGTCGTCCCTCCTCTGGTTGTCGCCTACTACGCCATGGACTGGGCTATTCACCGGTGCGTTTACCAGACACGCCCTGCGCGTGGAGCGCTGCGAGATGGGGTTACTGACGTGTAGTAGCAACGAGTACCTGAACTCCAAGGCCGGTCTGGCCGAGTTCGCTGACGAGGAGGAATAAATTTGGAGCGACCAGAGGATAAATGATTAGACGGCGAGACCCTTGTGTCAAAACACTTGTACATCAGCTGAGCGACGGAGGGAGGGAATAGAGCTATTCCAATTGAGTTACGCATACAGACGATCGGATCTTGCTACCGTAATTGCGTGGTGGATGCAAAGCTGGCATATTTGTCAGTGGCTGTTGATGTGAACTGCTTCGTCGTGAGGCACCATGAATCCTCGACTCCTTGCGCATCCGCCTCAATGCGTGGTGGTCTCCAATGGACTGATGAAAGAGCTCAATTCACAGGCAATGAGCTCCATTACCTGTCGAATTGCTATTTGTATAAACATCATTGCTCCATGAGGCAAACCGGCCAAAACGTAAGGCAGCCAACTTCGCTCATTAGCAACCCGGAGCCTCTCATTGGTGAGATGGTACTGGGTCCTTCGTCAAACAGCATTCAGAGCGGCACGCCCACTCGAGACGAGTTGTTCAAAGGAATAAATAGTTGGCAGCAAGGTTTTGATGCTATTAGAATGAATGACTGGCAAATCCGATTGAAATCGCTGCTTCGAGGGCCAGAGACCGACGCATGGCATCTCACTCAGGTTTTCTACAGTCACGTGAAGTCTTCCACCTCACCGAAGGTTCCCCGCCGATTTGCCTCACCGAGAGTTTCGGCCCGGATATACTTCAACCCAGCGCCGACTCCAATTGGCGGGCACACGGCCAGCTCCCCGCAAAAAAATCCAAAGGGAAAAATTTCGAGCTTCCTCTGGTACTTGCTGCACCCAGCGACGATACTACGAGACGACCTGAACGCCCACCCTCGAAGATCCGTCCCGCCAAAGTCGCCCAGCACCCGCACCCAGGAACCAATTCGTCGCAAAATACCACCCAAAAGTCGCAGCAATGGCGTCCGAGCGCCCTGACAAGAAGGAGAAGAAGGAGAAGAAGCGCTCCGACGCCGACGGTGTGGCCAAGGTCAAGAAGGACAAGAAGGACAAGAAGGAGAAGAAGGAGAAGCTCGAGCGCGCCCTGGACGAGCACATCCAGGCCGATGCCGCCGCCGCCGCCGCGCCCGTCGTCGAGACTGACGGCGCCGTCAAAAAGGTCGGCCCCATCATCCCCGGCGCCACGGTGCCCTTCGCCGTGCCGCTGGCCGACGACAAGGCCATGAAGAAGATCATGAAGACGATCCGCAAGTGTGAGTAGCAAAGCATCCATTGGATCAAACGTCCGGCGCGAAGCCAGCGACTCTTGGTCCGGCCACCCGCACGTTCAATTGCTGATCTGGTTTCTCCCCGCAGCCGCCAAGAACAACACCCTCAAGCGCGGCGTCAAGGAGGTCGTTAAGACGCTCCGCAAGTCCCCGGCCGCCGCCCCCGGTCGCACCTCCTTCCCCGGTGTTCTCATCATCGCCGCCGACATCTCGCCCATGGACGTCATCGCCCACCTCCCCGTGCTCTGCGAGGACCACAACGTGCCCTACATCTTCGTGCCCTCCCGCGCCGAGCTCGGCGCCGCCGCCAAGACGAAGCGCCCGACCTCCGTCGTCATGGTCATGGAGACGGCGTCCGCCGCCGGCGCCAAGAAGGCCGAGAAGAAGGAGAAGGACGACGAGGACGATGGTGAGGACTTTAAGGAGTCGTACGACGCGCTTGTCAAGCTTGTGCAGAAGGAGACGGCGAGGCAGGCTTTCTGGGCATGATGAGGCATCTTACCGACGGATGTTTGAGACGGGCTGTTGGAAACCGGAGTGGAGAGTAAAGACAGAGGAACCTGGCCGCTGACGGGTACTGCCGCCCGTGAGCTGGCGTGCGTCGATAGATGCGGGCGAGAGGAAGTGTTCAGGATTGCCAGGCAGCTTTGTGGGTATGGTGGTGTATTATACCTCCTGGCCATGTCGCGCGACAGGGACATAACGGATGGGACTGGCGTTTGGTGTCGAGTATTGCTTCGTACTCAAAATATGACGACGATTTGTTAACATTGACAACTTTTTTTACCTGATGTGATGCTTTGCAGACAGCCAGAGTAGCACTGACAAGGTAATTATTCTCCCTGTGTGCTCAAGGTGCTTGTTTGGACGCTACACGAATGCCGTACAGCTTATGGCTTGCAAGCGGAAACACATGACAATCGAGAGGAAGCAGACATCGTTTGGTTAGAGGCAAGTTCTCAATCCATTATCTCTTAACTCCTGAACCTTCCGAGTCCCAGACTATAAGCACATAGGGTGCGGGCCGCTGAGTTCTGTCGTCTGCTTGCCAGGCCACCCTGTTGGTATTCCGACTTGAGGAATGCCACAAAATTATCCCTTTACTCGAAAGGGTTGGTGCGGGTGCCCCACCAGGTCAGGAAGACGGACAGGCCGACCGTCTCGAAGACCTTGGCGAGGACACTGACGCCGACGGTGTCAAGAGCGCGCTTCTCGATGAAGACCTCGGAGATGTACTAGGCAGGGTGTCAGTAGGATTTCAAAGCAAGATAGAGCAAGGGCAGACATACACCAGGGGCGGCAGTGGCGGCGAAGATCAGGGCACCGAGGTAGGAAGCGCCCTTGTAGGACAGAGTGCCGGTGGCGTTGATGAGAGCACCGACACCGTAGGCCTGGAGGGCAGAACCGACGAGAGAGGTGCCCCAGGCGACGGCAGCGGAGGAAGCCTCCTTGGACTTGGCGAACTCCTCCTTGGAGTTGGCAGCCTTCGCGCGCTGGTAGGTCTGGCCGAAGAGGGGGCTGAGGACTGAAGGATCTCATGTGAGCGGGGTGATCACGAAGTGGGCAGCAGTGCGGGGATGAGCCGGGAGAAACTCACTGGCAAGCTCAGCGGTGTGGTTGAAGATGGTGCCGAGGGCAATGGCCGAAGGCTTGACGGGGGGGAGGTCTGACAATGATACGTTAGAATGACTGTTGTCCCGAGGAGCTCGTGTGATGAGGACGGATGGCACCACCATCCACATGTGAGTGGTGCTGGAACACCTCGAGGCAGCGACGGAATCACCGACAAGTGCATCGGCACCCAATGGGCCAGGCAGGGCCGTCCATCCTCAGAGAATCAGGACTTACAGTGCAGAGACATGTTGGCTGGTGTTTTGGGGTATCTTGGATTGGTAGTGAAGATGGGTTCGTTTGTTGTTCGTTATGACGGTGTGACAGGAAGGAGAGTGTCGGCAGACGAGGGGACGCGGCACGCTTTTATGGGAGAAGGTGAGGAATGGGGTGGCAGCTGGAAAGCTTTCCCCATCCGTTGTCCTCAGGCTGTCACACATGCACAACAGGGCAGGAGCTCCCTGCTGGCTACCTACCTCACCTACTCGGCCTGCTTCCTTGCCCCTAAAGCCCGTGACCTGGGCTCCAAAACATGAATGACATGGATAACCTCGGGAACCCCTCTTGGAAGGTAGTGTACATGGCTGAGGCAGGCGCTACGGGCAACAGATCGTGTACCGCACCCGGGATCGGTCAATCCAGCAACGCTGCTAATGACCACCCGCCGCTGGCTAGGGGACAGCTTTGGGGAAAGGGGGGCGCGGCTGGTTTGCGCATTGCTGGGAACAAGCTGCTCGCACCCGCCCCAAACCAGCCAGTGTCGTCACCTGTGCAATGATGTCACCATAACCGATTCCAGAAGCCCACCTCACCTTCACCTCTCTCCCCCCAGCTCACTTACTCACTTCCCTGCCCAGCCCTCCGCTTGCGCTAGGTCTCTATTGGGCCAAGCTGGATGAACATCCTGAGCCCCACACGCCCCACGAATCCGTCATTGGCCCACGCCCCAGCTCCCGCAATGATGTTCTGGCCCGCCCCAAACCGCTCATTGCCAGGGCACTCAGCAGGGGCCTTGTCTGTTCCATCGAGCCGATCCTCGATTGCCCATCGGAGCTTATACTCCTGTCCTCACCTCTCATTTCAGGCCCCAGTACGTGATACCAGTATATGCCAGGTTCAATTCACAGCAAGTGGCGCTGTGGTCTGACCCGGGACGCCAGGAGGAGAGCATGCTTGACGAAAGCTCATTTCCTTGCCTGTGGCTGTGCATCATCAAGATGCATATCGAGAAACTCCCATCTCCTGGCGTCTTTCTGTTTCGAGACGAATGTGAATCCACATCGCATTCCGATACCATTTTTCCCTGCTGGCTTCGGCGTTCGTCAAAAGAACAGCATGATGGTACCATAGCGTCATCGCCATCACATTCGCACGCTAATCTTTCTTCTCCCTCAGTGGTCCTCCTTGCACCTCGCCCGTCCGTCTGCCTCCCCACACACACCCTTGCTTGTTCTGCTTCCCTCTCGGCCGTGATCTGCTGCACCCGGAGCACCTTAGCCCAGGAACGTCGGATGCCCCGTCATGCTTCAAGATGTCGTCTGTGAAACAGGTTCAGGAAAGGCCAGCATAATCCCCAAAGCCCCCACCCTTCGTCGACGTAGCTTTTCCAGGCCCAGGAGCATCATACGTGGCACACAATCACGTGTCGTTCAGCTGCATTATTGACAAAATGGAATAACAAATTGCATAAAACCCGCTCTCGGAACCAGCCATCGACGTTGCCGTCGGTCCCTGAATGCTGGCTTCGTTGCGCCCACCCGCTCGGAAACTCCGTTTCACTCCCGGAAACCTACAACACCGCTGTTGGTATACATACATACACACATTCAATTGCCTTCAGACGTAGTTGAAGCCGCTGAAGTTTTTCACGTTCCGCCTGCCCCTTTGTATTTGCCATTACAACGACTATGCCATGTGCTGACCGTCCTCGCCGCCCCTCAACGCCAGCAGCGCCCGCACATCCGACACGTACTGCAGACCCTCAAGAAGCGGCACCAGATGCAAAAGGTCGTTGTCCGTCGGGTCGTTAATCCAGCCTTGAATGGGTATCGCATTGTCTACAAGGTGGAGAAGAATAGGTCAGCAACACGAAACCACCTCCAAAGACACCAAACAGGTCGTACCTTGATGGAACATGTAACTCAGCGGGCTGTTGTCCAAGATCATGACCCTGCTGAGGTCGGGCTCGACAGAGCTCAGGTCCTTGATGAATGCACCTTGCCGGAACGTGCAGTGCTGGCGATAGTAACGAGCCGAGAAGAATTTCCTCTCCGACTCGAGCCAATCTATGACAGGGTCGGCGTATTCCTGCACGGAGGCCGTGAAGACGACAAGGTTGTACCACTTGCAGATCTGGGATGCCCAAGGTCAGCATGTTCTGGGTTGTGTGTCTAGTGAATGAGCCCTACCCTGCGCAAGAAGTCGTCGCAGTAGGGCCGCTTGTTGACCCAGTAGAGGATGGGGTGCTGCGGCCCTAGCGACGTCTGCCCTCCGGCGCCGACATAGGTCTGGTTTAGCCGGACTTCGACCATGTGCCCAGTACTCATGCGGCCTCCCTTAGACATGCTGTGTATCAATGTTTCGTCGAGATCCAGGATCAGTGTCTTTTGGTACTTCCGATCGGTTTGTTCGAGGTTAAGGTATGATGGTTGGCGGCGGGGAATAAGGGGGCGGAGGTGGTGCTGGTGTTCTCGGGTACTTTCGTCAAAGCGCCAGCAGGTGATGTCGGCGACTTGAGCTGGGCAGAAATATCGGCCACGGCGGTGCCGTCACTGCGTTTGGCCTGTGAGCTGGCAGATTGAGTCTTTCGGTGCTTTCGAAGTCCTTCCTCGCTGTGTAGCTTGGATGCGTATAGACCTTCGTGACGGGGCGATTTCTTCCGTGTCTTGTAGAGTTTTGGAGCGAGTATGTCGTTGTACGGAGCTGCGATGCTGGTTCCTGTGGTCAGGATCCGATTCGGACTCGGACGAGAGGCCCAGACGATGATGAACCGGAAGACGCTACAGGGCGAGACAATGTGCCATACGCTCGACTCGAAGTAGAGAGGTGCAGGCCATTATTCTCGTCGTAGAAACCGGATTCGTGCGCAAACTTATCGTTGCGCGTCCCCAAAGAGCTTTCTCAGCTGAGAGAGCGGCGCAAATGCGCCCGAGCTATCATACAGACAGGCGATGAGGTAGACGCCGGGAGCGGCCAGGGTAGAGAAGAACCATCGGATCGAATTGATGAACGTGGTTGCGATGGAACGCGGCAGAGAGTGCCACGTCGCTGACCGCACACCCGCCTCCTTCGACTCATTCATTAGGGGCGTGTATTCACTCGGCGCATCGATGCTGACGGACGCTTCGTCGACCTTCTCGGATTTGACAGTCGTTGAAGTATTGTCTTCGAGAGCATCATCCCTTCGCTTCCGGTCCGGGTCGCCATCGCACGAGTCATCATTGGGCTCTACCGCCATGCCTATGGAGCCAAAAGAGTTGGATCGCGAGGGGCCCGGGCTTGGTGGCGGCGACACCCGCGAGGTGATTATGTTCAAGGAGTTCATCTTTGGTAGTATATGTAGTCCATAAGGCATGGGATAGGCGAAACCGACAAAGGATACAGCAGATTTCGAAGGTTGAGCAACAAGGGGGCCCTAACGTTTTGATACAGGTCGCGAAGGGAGATGCTGCCGGAAACGCGCAATAGAAAAGTATGGATGTAAAATCGGTAGAGTCCAAATAAGGTGCCAAAAAAACGAGTGGACGGCGACCTGTGTGTTTTGCGTATACGAGGTTCGAAGTCGGCCGAGGAGGGGGTTGACCAGTCTTTGAGACGCTTCGAGTGTTGCCCCAGAGAAAGTAGCGATCACCTCGTCGCCATGAACGATTATTAAGTGGAAGGTTTTCTCCTCAGGGATGCGCTCTTTTCGGTAGGATGGCGGGGATGACGAGGGAGTCTGGCATCTATCAAAGGGATGGTCGCTGATGCAGGTCGAAATCCAATGCAACGTTCAGTAGGACGCGGAGGGCACCTCAAACAGTTCGGATTCGGCTGCGGACGATGGTCGCGTTTGGCGCAAGGGGGTGGGGGGACCCAATGTCGTGAATTTGTCGAATTGCAAGTGCCCAAGGGAGCTCTGCGCGAGCAACGAAGTCGAAGGTCGAGAATTGTGCCACAGCAAGCAGACGGAGAGTGAATGAGTGAATAGACAGGCTGCCTAGGCTGTCAGAAAGCGAAGCTCAACAGTCTGTCGCACCTGGCCTGAGTGGGAGTCCGTGTCTGTGTCGGGTTAGAAGGGACTGGGCTGATCCTTCCACATTCAGTTGGGGCGACGGGAATGAGGTTCACGTGCTCTGACTGGCCATCCTCTAGGGCGAGCTGCCGATGCCAAGCGACTACGTAATTACACCTACGCCGAGGTACTAAGCTGTGGCTACATTCTGCATGCCGTGAAGCTTTAGGAGGTCCGTTTGGGGGGGTCCTTCTCTTCTGGACTAGCCCGTTACTAATACGGACGGGCAAATCAGCATCAGCCTTGCCTAATTCAATATCGTGTACCTTAGGTAAGGTATGCAGCAAGTTATCAAGAGTGATGAGAAGGAGGCTGTTGGTGGATTGTAGGTACCTAGTCTTGTAAGTTCAACGTCCAAGGCAAATGACTCCCTTTGCTAGCCCTGACAGCAAGCAGCAGCTCAATCTTTTGATCGAAAGCCGTCTTCAATGCTTGGTTTCGATGTGGAGGCATCGCGATCTCGAAGCAAAACCGTATAAGCACGTGATTCAAGTCATGAATCTTACCTGCGGCTAACTCATCATGGTTAGTGCACACTGTGAAATTCCCCATCCCACCATGCCCAAGCAAGGTACATTGTCTACGTACCTCCACACACTTCAGAGTGGGATGGCGCTGATCGTAGCTTTGACTCAGAACCACAAACCCTTCAATATCAGCCCTCGACGACGAGCACCCAAATTTCTAGTTCGTCTGCCCAGCCTGTTTCGAGCCCCTGCCATACAAGACGGTAGCAGCCAAGGATTTTCTCACGGCAAGCTGATTTGGTACATCTTGTCCCCGGAAGAACCCCGCGCAATCCGACTGCCCACGGACACGGCGCACGAAGGCACCCCGCGACAACACCCACTCCGAAATCGAGCGATCACAACGCCCTGCGCCCAAAATCAGTACCACCATGTCGTCCGTGAAGCCGAGCCTCTCGGAGCTCGAGAGATACCTCAAGTCTCTGAAGGGAAAGACGCTTGAGGCTTCAATTGACAGTCTTATTTCGTGAGTTTGCCCATGGGTATGCGCTCTGGCAAGTCCGCCAACTAAACGCCCATTTAGCCTCCTCAAGCGACGACAGATTTCCGGCGCCGAGCCATGCGCTGTTGCCACTGCACACATCCTCCTCCAGGTTGTGGCCAAGACAAGATTTCAGGATGTTGACCAGATGCTTGAGAAGGTTCAGCAGGTCGGATGTCGGCTTGTGGCGGCGCAACCTAAGGAGCTCGTCGTCGGCAATATCGTTAGGAGAGTGCTGGGCTTGATTCGTGATGAGGCTGCCGAAGACCGAAATGACGGAGGTGATGAGACACCAAGCGATGTACAGATGACACCTACTGCGGCAGTCGCCGAAGCATCCAAGCTCGAACATCACTGGCCCCCGTCCACGTACACAAAGCAGGATGCCGGCGCGGACTACATATCCAGCGGCCCCCGGCCAGTTCGGCCAGGTGCCTTGACGTCTGCCAGCTCCTTCTCAGTGCCCAAGACCCTACTCAGCTTGCTCGAGGCCGCGCCTACGGTGGATGCGCACAGCACCGCGTCGGGATCGCCTTACATCGGCGCGGGTTCTCCCTACATTGGTGGCTCGGGTGTGTCCACTCCCATGCGCGGACAACAGACCAGAGTGAACGCTATCAGGGCAGAAATCATTGATGGCATCGAGGAGATCAAAGACGAGATCAGCCAGGTTGATGACCAGATCGCTTCGGCTGCTGAGGTGCAAATCCACCCCATGGACTACGTGCTCGTTCACCAGCCCTCTGCCACTGTGCAAAAGTTTATCCTCCGTGCGGCTGCCAAGAGGAGATTTACGGTGCTGATTGCGACGGAGGCGCCGCGTGCATCGTCTGACGAGCCGCCGTATGCCCATTTTAGGAAGAAGCTCTCGGCAGTCGGTATCTCGTCTATCAACGTGATGAACGCCGGGCTCATGGCACACATGCCGCGCATCAACAAGGTCGTGCTCGGCGCTCGGTCGGTGCTCGCCAATGGCGGCGTCGTGACCGATGCAGGCGCCGGAATCATCGCAAGGGCGGCCAAGGAGCGGGGAACATCAGTCATTGTTCTCAGCGGCGTCTATAAATTGAGTCCAGAGAGCTCGGTTGACGAGGAGAATCTGAATGAATGGGGCAGCTCCATGAGCCACGTGAGCTTCGCCGATGGGCCACTTGTGAACGGCGTCGATGTACGAAGCGCCGCCACGGAACTGGTGCCGGCAGAGCTCGTCGACACATACATCACCAACCTGTGAGTGGACTCGTGTTGACAGAATGAGCGGCAGACCGGACTGACACGTTGATAGGGGCGCGCACTCTCGCAACCACCTCTCAACCATCATTGCGGACCACTATAAGCAGGAGGATGTGGACTTCCAGCTGTGGGACGAGCTGGAGAGGTAAAGTCAAGAGGTCAGGGAGCATGATGTTGCGGCAGCTGTCGTGGTCAGCCCACAAAGTACTGCATACATGGCGATGACAGACATGGCTGCCTGTGCCAGGACATTCAAGAGCTGGGTTTCATGAGAGTAGCCACACCTGAGATGTGCTTGTAGCTCAATTCGGGAGTCTGAAAGCCATCAGGCTTCTTGAAGGGAAGAGATTAGCGGTTTCTGAGGGACAGCACAGAGCCATCATGGCAGATCGGGGAAATGGCCGTGGTTGTTCTAGCAGGAGGGGCTGGCCGCGTAAGCAGATGCAGTGACGCGGTCGGCGGAATGGGGCCATTTGGGGGGGTCTTCACCCTCCGGCCCTATCGTCGTCCCTCGACAACAAGAGTGGCTCGAGTCTGCCTTGCGCCGAGAGGGCAATCACCACATAGTCACTGGGTCGCCCTGAAATCAGGGCTGAGTTGATGGGCAGCATACCTACCTGGGAAGGGCACGGTAGCCGAAGGAGGTAACCCGGCACTCGGCAGTTTGCAGTCTGCAGTCTGCGCAATCATCATAAGGCTGGCTGAATGCCACAATGTAGCATATCAAACTATGAATGACACCGGTACGTGGAAGGCGGGCTGGCAACCTATTCGGTTCATTTCGCATCGCCAAGTGCTTGGATTCGGACAAGTCAGGCCAAACGCATCTTGGACGCCAGCTCAGGCAGCGCGCGCCTTGCAGCAGCCTCCCTCTGCAAAGCCATTGAGCTGATTTAATCCACTGAAGGGCGAGGCAGCGGAGGTACCTAGAGGTAGGTAAGCAAGCAGGCTCGACCCGTCTCCCAGCACACACTCTCTCGCCCACATTCACCTATCTGGCCAACAAGCTACAACCCTGCCAAAACACCACCGCCACCAAGGTCACCTATATCGCCGTCAATCAACAAAGAGCTTGGGCTACTAATCATTGTGCACCTACTCATCGTCGTCGACGACATTGCATCCCCATGGAACCCGTATCTGGTTGTGCTATTTCCAGAATTTCGTCTGCCGCCATACACCTGGAGGTTATCCAGAATCTATTCTCTTCCATCTGTCTGCTGAAGGTCTGATACAACGAGCACGTCAGTCAGTCCAACATACCACCATGGATATTCCCGACCCGCCGCCGCCCCCATACTCCGAGACGGATATCTACTCTAGTGGTCATTCCAATCAGCCTATTAATGGCACCGATGCTCGGTATTGTGACCCTTCCAGCCGGCCCCATGGCCGCCCAGTCTCTTCAGCCTCGACATCTGGACTTCAGCCTGCTGCCGTCCTTTCATCCAGTAACCAGAGTGAGGTGAATTTCACTCCGTCCGCAAGTGACCGCCGTAACAACTCAGTCAGCGAGTCATCTTTTCCCGTCTCCTCGCTCTCATCAGCGGCAGCACAAGATTACTTCGAAACTCGTCCACTACCCACGGGCTTCTTTCAGGATCACCACGTAACTCAGACGATTTCTCTCATATCGACCTCTCGTCCAGATGATTTCCCCTACAGACAGGAATGGGCTAGGCGCGATGTGAGTTCGTCAGACTGGCAAACCTTCCTGAACTTTCTACTGCCCAATCACGCCACTGCACGCAACGAAGCCGTCATTGATCGCAAGCTGCTCGCCGAGACAGACAACACCACGGTTTCCGCCTCCAGCGGCCGGGCTCATGCCTCAGTGCACCTCAACCAGCTCCGTCGGGCTTCAGCCGCTGACGTAGCAGTGGGATCGCCTGCCCTTGGCGTGAAGCGTGAAGCAGAGGCCGTCACAGCGGAATGGAACGCATACTTTTTCCAACCCCGAGCCATGTGGGTGCGACTGGCCTTCGAGCCGCCTCGCCTGCAACATCAAGCCGAATACGGTCCTCATATGC